TCCACACATTAAAGGGGGAAAGTCTGTCAGGGAAGAATCATGACCTGATGTGTTCAGTGAAAAAGAAAATCTGACTCCAAACAAGAAGGTTACAGTGCAACCCAGCTCATGAGCACTGGAAGCGGATTCTGAAGAAAGTTAAATTCCTTTTCCCTGAGGACTACAGTGCTGATAGTGAGCCGTCTTACAGAGTACTCCTCTGGTTCTGTAGCCTCTGATGGTAAATGAAGCCACACAATTATCCCCTGTGATTGACAAAGGCTATTGCACAATCCAATAAAGTGGGATGAAACTTAGACTCCTGTTTTATTGGCAACCTGACACCTCCCAGCTCTGCTGTGTAAACTGAGTCTACGTCGCTGAATTAATGCAATCATCCCCAACACAAGGCAATTAGTTTGTGATTCAAGCAGTCGCTGTGATGCTATTTAAGGAAATTGTGTATATCCTCCCATTCAGCCATCTATCTATTAGATTACCTTTCATCCACATATCAGATGAGGTAGAGCTTTGAAGTGATGACATCAAATGATGCAGGATTGATGCTGCGCTAAACAACAGTGTTCCTTAACACCATGCACATTTTGAATACATTCCTTTGTCTTTGCATACAAACAAAGAACCATATCCGAGGCCATAAAAAAACAATTCAAAGATCTTTTAAAATAAACACTTTGGACAGACTGTGGCACAACAGGAAGTTACATCAGCTGCATCCTGACAACCACGTTGACTTCTCTGTAATGGCTATAGACATGTGCGACTTTCAACACACAACCGACACCAAATATATCAGTAGTAGTTAGTATGACTGTCAGGGGATGCAGTTGTGACTAAAATATCCCAGAGGGCAGCTTGGATGCACAGACGAACTTTGATCAGTGTATGTGGACACGCATTTAGCGATTCCTCCACTGTAAAAGTTGTGTAGTCATGCGCTGAGTGAGGGACAGCTGTCAACCCAGGCCTGTGCTTTGAATAGCAACTTGTCTATCTCTGCTGTCACTGTCAAATCTTTAAGTGTACACAGAGCTGAATCTTAGACAGTTTATCCAGATCCTCCCCTGGTTCCAGATCCTCTCCCGTGCAGTTTCTCAGCCTTGCTTCAATATTTAGTCGGTTTGACCTTCAAATAGGAATAGACTAATCTTTACAAAGTATTAACTGGTAGTCCAGGGAGGATCTTGTAGACATTGATAACATAATGCCATAGGGAAATAAGGATGATAAAACTAATCTGTATAAGTTCCTATAGAACACATTCTTACATAGGATTCATCATGCTATGGGTGTTCTGTCACCTAAATCTGATGACAGGTACTGGTTTTTTTCTCTGTTGATGATGACCTTGTGTTCAGTACTTTATTACCTCTGCACCTACAAATCTGAAGTGTTGCAGTTTTTTTTTTTTTTTTTTGAGAACTTGTCTGCAGAGCTGTGCAGTGTTGGCCAGAGAGAGAGAGAGAGGTGGTGTGGGTGCTGGAGAGTGGGCCAAACAAGAGTGAGGAGAGAGAGTGAAGCCAAAGCAAGGTGAGGCAGGGGAGAGAAATGGTTGGGTTACAAGAACGAGGCTGCAACCAGGTCAGCATTTCTGTGTCGGCAAGTCTGGGGCTCCATCCAGCCTCTGGCGTTGGCTGCAGAGTGTACGTGCGTGTGTGTGTGTGTGTGTGTGTGTGTGTGTGTGTGTGTGTGTGTGTGTGTGTGTGTGTGCATTAGAGAGAGTTACAGGGGGGGTTTGGATTACTGCAGTAAAGCCTGGGCATCAATCTGTGAGCCTCTCACCTTTTCCCCTTCAGTGCTATCGTTCTGTCAACATAAGGACTTGGCTTTTTGCTCCTTGTCGTCTGAGCCGAGTCTTAACCATAGCAGCACAGGATTCTCTCTTTCCAAGTCTTGCTCTTCTGTGTTTTATAAGCATAGCAGACTCAGAGGACAGACCTTTTGAGACTTTCAGTCCCAGTGGGAGGGAGCAAAACCGATGGGACAATGCTGTAGCATGTTGAGCCAATAAGCCAAGGGACCTTGTATCCACCCCCTGACAGCTGGAGGTGTATGTTTGTGTCTGAATGTATGTATGTGTGTGTGTGTGTGTGTGTGTGTGTGTGTGTGTGTGTGTGTGTGTGTGTGTGTATTTATGTGTAGGGTGATGCATGTGCCTGTGCAAGACACAGAAAGGTGGATGAAAAGGTAAAAGGAGGAAATTGAGCATAAGGCTCTTGAAAATTTGAAGGGCACTGCATATTCATTCACACATAACTGATTTATAGATTGCATGCAAAGTAAGGCTACACTTTGTTGTGAAAGAAAATCACTTGGTGCACAATTGAAAGATGCAAATTCTCATGGAAGTTCTATATGATTTGCTTTCTTGTCGCTTTCTCGTTCATTTAACCCATGTTGTGGTTTTACGGGGAATTACTTGCTCAAACTATTTCCTGGACGGGCCAGTGACCAGCTGCAGTCAGGATATCTGTTTCTCCCAGTTTCCAGTCATTATCAGAGCTAAGAGAAGAGAGCAGTATTGATCTTCTCATATAACTTCAGGCAAGAAAGTAAATAAGCTCTCTAAAATGTTGAACCATTACTTAAAAAAAACACAAAAAAACTGTCTCTCCTGTAGCTGAAGCTCATGCCACTAACAGGTGTCCCAGAGAGTGACAGGAGAATAAAGATTAATTAATACATTTTTTTGTTGACTCAGTCGATTGATAATTAGTGTCAGGCCTAATTAGGTGCTGTGTCTTTATCAGGTTTCGTACTGGGTTTGTTTTGGATGCATCTAGTTTTACACTTGGATGAAATAACGGAACAAATTACTTTAGTCTGCAAGTGTGGCAATCAACTTCTGTTGTGATTGTACAACACAGGATAACTTGGGCCTACATTGCTGCACCACCAAAGATCAGACAGTTTAACAGCTTCATTAAATACAGATAACTTAATATAGGAGACATTATGAACTATGATGAAGGCTGTGAGCCCAGATACTGAGACACATGAGCTCTGATGAAAGAGGGAAAAAATAGCATGATAGCTCACTGAATGAAAACTGTAGGTATATTCTGTAGATTAGATCAGGAGGAGGGAGTAAACATGAATAGACCTGCAGGTTAGAGTGCCCTTTCGTCATTCACAAAAGTAACTGCAAAAAAATTGATTAAGACATTCTTGAATTATTACCTCCAAAATGGAAAGGGAATTAAAGAGCCACCACAGCCTCCACACCACTCGGGAAATGTGTATCTAGTTTCACTTAATTTCATCATCTCTCACTATGTGGGTCCATTTAAGAATCAAATATTTTCTTATTACTTGTGGGAAACTCAAATGCGCACATGCAGACACACACACACACGCACACAATTGCCGACTGTTCCCGTTTTCAAGGTTACACCAGAGTTCTTCTGTCGCTCACAACACATTTGCATCAAACCACCGGCAAACAGCTGCCAATTAACAAGCAGCCTCTCCGTTAATACACACACATCACCGCCAATTACAGTGTCGGGTGATCTCTCTCTCTAACAACAGACTGGAATGGCACACATTCACCCAACCACTATACCTCATGCACACTGGGGAGGGAGGAGGAGGAGAGAGGGAGGGAGGCTTTAGGTGTACAGAAACCAGCAAATAACAGCTGATGTTTTAGAAACCAAGGAATGAATTGGGCGAGAGGGAACAGCGCAGAGACAAGAGGGAATGTTCTGTGCCAGGAACAAGGCTTTCAGGATTAGCTCTGTCATGCAGCTACAAGAGCAGAAATAGTGGCTGGCTAGATGAGGCCTGACAGACTGAACAGACACATAAAACGCAGCGCGAAGTACACACACAACACAGAAACACACTTTTATGAGCAGAGAAAACACTGAGCAATGCACACATGCAGACAGTGTTTGAAGTATGTGTGTAGAGTGGAACACTGGGCAGATACATATATATTAAACACATAAAGCAATTAATGTTAAAGTTTGCTTCTGTCTACACCAGTAAGTTCTTATTCATATGTTGTATGTTTCTTATTTAGGTCCAATATCATTACGACAGATGTAAATTTCCTACATAGAGGAATTTTAATAAAAGGAATCGTTAGCAATGGGCACAAAAGCTTTAGAGCAGGAGCAGATTACTGCAGGATGACTTTGCACATGCACATACATTCAAGCAGGCACAAATAATTCTTTTCATCCTGCTATCTTGAGCACACACGCACATCCACACACTCTAACACATGCACACACACAGCATAAAGATAATTTCCTTCATGCAGCAGCACAAAATTGAACTATTCATTATTGTCAACCTTGAAAACAGCCTGGTGCAGGCGTAGTAATGAGAATTTATTAATGTCCACAGCCACTAGATGGCACCCTCTTCCCTTTCATTTCCAATTTAGCTTTCCATTCCTCAGCTGATCAGCTGACTCTCTCTGCGGGATGGAGGCCAACTAGATGCACTCCAAATACTAAGCTAAGATAAAGGGCATTTACTTTACCACATCAAATTCACTTGAAAAAAAACAGAACAGACTGATCACCGGTCTTATACATATGAAACTCTAACCATCTGTTACAGTCACTTCAACCTTGAGGATTATAGTAATTGAGAGTTGCCATGTTGTTGTAAAGACCAGCCACGCATCTATGTTGCATTTTTCATACAATCTATTTTGTCTTGGTCTTGTACAAATTAACTCTTCTATGGTGGTGGTCTTCTATCGGCAAGAATATATCAATCACCCAATCAATCAGTACCACTCAGCTTGTGGGAGGTTGCCTGCATCCAGCAGGCCTTGGGTCATACAGTCAATACAGTGACCTTCAAGAAAACAAAAGATTTGCAGAATACAATCAGGCATCCCGGGCATCAAAAAGTCAAAGCCATACATTGCAAGTGAGATGACGTGACATTCATGCAATGAGAGAGAAAGTGGATTTACCAGTAACAGCCATTTTGTCATTTAGAATTTAATGAAGAAGGTTGTATGTGAACAGTGGCTCTGTTAATAAAGGTTTTGGATGACAGATGAAAGATATAGGTGTGTGCTATAAGAATAATGATTACATATTGTATGGAATACAGTATACAAATTGTGAAAGTATGAACATAGGTAAAAAATGAAAAAAAAACATTAAACACATTAACAAACTAACTGTTTGGAGTCCTTACTTCCATAAGGATTGAAAAGACAAGAAAGAGAGAAAAGCACGCACAGCTTTGAATTAGGTGTCGTAATAATGTTTTCGTCCACGTGTTGTTTCATCAAGTACACGCCACAAGGTTGTGATTAAACAAAGATCCTTCAGTGTTCAAGCAGACTTGTTGAGAGGTGTCTGAGAGGAGAACTGAGACTGGAAGTTGGTGCCAATGACCATCACTTTTTCTTGCCAGCACTCTTGGCAGGTTTGTGAGGCTGCTGGGTGGCAGCAGAGGTGGGGGTTGTTTTTTCTAGAACTGCCTGCTGGGCCTCCTCCAGAGCTTGTTTCTCTTCTTGTTCCTTCTTCACGGCCGCCATCTGACGGCTACTAAATGCCTCGCAAGCATCGAGAAATTTCTTACAGCGCTGCCCCAAGGCTGCCTGGAGACAAGACAGAGAGGCAAAGGGAAAGAAGTTGCAGAATCATGTCTAACCAGAGGGAGAGATAGCTGACAAAAAGACACTCTCTATTTCATTGTGATAACCAAAGCCTCTTATTATTGCTGTCTAATCTTCTCCAGACAATTTCACCAATCACGTACTTCTTTTTCTGTTATGACTGACCTGCATGTTCTCATACATCTCCAGCTGGCGTCTCATTAGCTCCTTCCTGTTGAGCTCCTGCTGTTTCTGGTGCTCCAGCACATTTTCTCGGACCAAACGGTAGGTCTGGATCTTTTCTAAGCGCTCCCTCTGCTGGATCTCCTCTATCTGCGAGTCCATCAGCACCGGAATATCTTTTTGGCGTCTACGGGCATACACAAGGACTTGATACAATGCGTATATGCATACCATAATTTACACCTTTTAACTTTTCAATATAGTCTCTAACCAGAATGTTTATGTAGTTATTTATTTATGGTGAACACTGTATTGTGCAGTTGCATATGGTCTATCAAATTTTGAAAGGAATATTTTGAGGATCATATTGTCATCTGAAAATATTTTACATCTCATCAAATTCCACCGGGTTGCAGATTTTAGAGGCTATTTTGTGAGATGGGACAACCGACAATATTGACACAGGCAGAGCAAATAGAAATGGAAATGTGGCAGATAAATGTCGAGACAGGCAGAGGAAATGATAAACACATAGTCCCATGCCTTATCTCGTATCCCAAATTATATATCCAGATTTATATCTGTGAAATCTATTCGGTTTTTGTTATACCCACCATATTCGGGTATTTCTCTGTTAATATTTGATTGTGTAACTAAAATGTAATTTATTTGTGTCTATGTGCATGCAAAGACAGACAGAAGCAGCAGAAGATGGAAAAAGACAGAAACAAGCTGTATGTATGACGTAGTTAGTCAGTCAACATGTGTGTGTCCTTGGTTGAGAGAGAAATACACACACACACACACGCACACGCACACGCACACACACTTGGAGGGAGGGATTCAATTGGAGATTACCAGTGCTAAATGTGGCTGTCTATTTCCTGTAAGCTGACCTTAATGAAGAGGGGAGGCCAGTGGAGGTGACGATGGAGTTCATTTGGTTAATGAACATTGCCCTGTTAAACCTCTTTCACTGTGTGTAACAATGTGTGTGCAAATGCTATAAAGATGGCACGCATGAGTGTGAATCTGTGATGTGCCCGGTGGTGCGCCTTTGTGAGAGAGAGGTGTCTTGCAGACTAATCAGACTCCCCTAATAGACTAGTCCTCAGGATCTCTCTCTCGGCTTGAAATGCAGGCCATAGTGTCAGCAACCATTAGCAGCTGGACACGGATGCACGTGCAGGCACACACACACGCACAAACACGAATACCCACAGCAGGAAAGGATGGAGAGGTGATGGGATAGGGGCACATCTCATTGGAGCGACGAGCTCATTGGGGTCCTGAAATAGCTCTCTAATTAACAGACCCAAATATCATCTCATTTATCATGGAGAGGGACGGACAGGAGGATAGATGGAGGGAGGGAGAGTAATGGGACACTCTATGGAGGGAGACTCTTCCCTTCTGAACACTCACTGACAAAAGTCAAAAGCTGACACTGAACATGCTGACAAGCTGAAAACTCAGAAAGCTGCTTGTGACACTAATTGTGCATTCATGTTCATGAAATTGATGAATATTCTTTGTCCTGTTAAACATTTTTCACTGTTAAGTAGCCGTCCAACTCTGAGTAACATTACTTAGTGGGGTCCAGTTATATAGTGGAGCTGTTGTATTTCCATCTCATGGTTGTCATGCATTTGGCTGTATGGCTACTAATGATAAAATCAGTCAAGAAGCAGGACACCCTAACCCCAACACCACCCTAACATTCTATACACTCACCTAAACAAAGTATCAGGCATCATGAGATGTCAATATTGACAGCTGCTTGTTTATGATTTCACACAACCTGGAGTGATATAGTTGCTCAAACCTTAAGATATTAAGGATAAGAATTGACTGTACCTTACTTAAAAAACATCCCACTGGTGTACATTTGTTAGATTTGTTCTAGAGGGTGTGGATGGACAATATTTGACCTAGATGTGGATATCTATTTATTTTTTTCTTTTTGTTTAGCTTCTTCTCCACATAGCCACATATACGCACACAATGTCTCTATATTACATACATCACTATCCTCTGGAGTCCATGCATTGCCCTTTCAGGCCAGGGAAAGTGTATAGCCTTGTAACACTGCTGTTCACAGCACCAATGGGAGCAAATGTCACAAACACAGGAAATCGCTAGCAACGTCCATCATAGATACTGCCTAAACCTGAATCTGCTGATAAGGATAAGGATGGTGGTATGTTTACAAACATAGGAACATGCATAGTGAACATATACACTCGTGCACACAGACACATGCATGCACAAAAAAAAACCCTAGTGTAGTGCAGTCAGGCCTTTTAGCTAAGGCTTAAATTTAGCCTCACAAAGCTAAAAAAGCTGAGTGATTCAACAGCTACATTAGGCAACTGGACCGCACAATGCATATTACCCACAGGACTTCGACAGGAAAAAAAAAGAAATTGCCTGTGAGAAAAATACAATGAGATGATGAGCCTGTCTTGGCTGTTTATGTATTATTATCCATCTCTGCCCTCTAAGCACAGAAATTAATTTGTCTGTTGGAACAGGCTGAACCGTAAGCAGCCACGGTGGCACAACAAACCGAAACTGAGAATTCGGCAATGTATAGTTATGTGACGGACTTGTGATGGCTACGCCTGCTCTCATCATCATTCTACCTTTATACGCATGTCCAAATAAAGAAAGGAATGAAATAGAAAAAAAGAAGAAAAGAAAGAGAGAAAGGAAGGTTGCAAGAGCTACAGAGCACCTGATGAAGGGCATGTAGTCCATGTGAGGATAGGTGGCGGAGGTATCAGTCAACTTTTGATTAGATGGACTGAGAGAGGTGTTAGGATCAGATCTGGAAGCAGCTGTAAAATAACCAATTACAAAAGGCCTCATTACCATACTGTTTTTCACACATAATGGAATGGAAAGTGCCAGATACATATACACACACATATATATATATATATGTAGTACATGTGTGAGTATTGTACCGGGCTCACTGCTTTCTGCATCATCTGTAGTGGCTTCATCACTTGCTGGATGTTGGACTTGGTTGAGAAACTGGAGACGAGACTGTAAAGCCTAAAAATAAAGCAAAACATTCGGTCTGTGGTGTTTGAATAAAGACAAGGCCCATATTAAGACAAATTTTTCCAAATCATACCTTTCACATTTTTACAGGAGATACAATATATTGGAAAAACTTAATGAAAAGGACTCCAACTGGTAAGTAATTAGATCACATTACCACAACAAAGTCAGTTTCTGGGTTACCTTGGCACAGCGGCCTGGCTCAACCATTTCCCAAGCTTTCTTAATGGATTTAATCTGCTCCATTCTCTCTCTGTCTTTCTTCACCCCGATGCTCTCTGCTTTACTCTTGTCACTGACCACACGCAGAGTCCAGTGCGGCTTAGTCAGGTCAAGGCTCTGCACAAACGTATACACACACAGGCCAAGAAGGACACAGAGACAAAAACAAAACAAAGACCATAACGTACATACTCACATACACACACCAACATCCACATCTGAAGGTCACCGTACAACAACGTATTATGAGTGTGTCTCTTTCAATGAGCAACTCAGACAGTCTGGTACACAGCCAGCCAGCCAGTCACCCAGAATTATATGTTCTGTTCAGCTGTCTTGTCTTTATTGTAAGTGATAGATCATTTTAGTTCATTTATTCAGAGATTATTATGTCCTCAACCTTCACCAATGTTGTGCTGCCAATGCTGAAGAAAGGTTCGAAATGGACATTCGTTGAAGGGGACCAGTATTCTGAAAATGTGCCTTTCAAATTTCATTGTGTTTAGGATTTGATATGTAGAGTAAGAGAGAATAAAGAGAATAAAAGGAGGTATGGTTTTGAATACTAAACCAAGACCATTATACTGAGAATCACGGACATGAGATTATAGTGTCTCTTACTCAGTATAAATACACACAGGTCAGTTGTGGGATTTTGTTGATGTCAGTCTCTTTTTGTTAGCATTTCAGTGTTACCTCATTATGTATGGTTTAGACAGGAATCTGTGAAAAGGAGTTAAGTATGCACTCCACTGAAGTGCTTCAACACCCTGTACACCCAACTGTAACCTTCTTTGTCTTAACATAGAATACTGTGGAAAATACACTGTGAAAAAGTATGTACTTATGTTAAGAATACAAAAGCAGTGTGTGGGCGTGAGTGCATATTGTCTCTTGAATTTGACCTTGCTATAACTCTTCTAATGAATGGTTTTCTTATGCATCATTGCCAATAAGAATATCCAATTCAGTAAAAGTAATGAAACGTAAACACTTATTATTCAACAACTCATTCTTGAGTTCATGGATTAGAAATATGTTTGCATGATGCTGGTCCTAATTTGCAGTAGAATAATGTTGTGGTGTTTTGTTGTTGTGTGTCACAGTGTTGTGGTGATGCGTTACCGTTTCCTGCCTGGAGCCAGATTTGGACATGGCAGCTGGCTTCCCCTTCTCCTTGTCTCCTTCGCCTTTGCGATTGGTTTTGGGTGTGTCAGAATTGTGCCCATCATGGCTCGGTGTGTCAGATGAACGCTTCAGGTTCTCCAGATTGCATACTATGTAATGTAAAACATGACTATTATTATAAATATTCTATTGTAAAAAAGGATTTGAAACATTAAAATGTTCAGCCTTGATATTCTGAAGTTGACAAAATGACTTTGACAAACATATAGTGTACACTTTTAACATTATAGTGAGTAACTGTAAATAAAGTAACCTGAACCTAAACTGTAGAATATGGGAAGAATGAATTCCTGAAAGTGGCATATAAGAGTGTGTAAACATACCCTATCTGTGCAAAACAAATAAAGTATGTTAACATTTCTTAGTCAAATGTTTGACATGTTTTGATTAATTTAATTATAATGTGTCCTTGTTCAATTCATACCACGTCCATTAGTGATCTTAAGAATGAACTCAGCTGTTCACATTCTACTAAACACAAGTAAAGCTCATCTGAAATAGGAGTGTGACAGCGTGGGCAAACACTGCATGTGTTGTATGGTTGCTTGTGTGCTAGATGGCACTGTTGTACTTCATAGATAAAATGAGCACAATCCCATGCTTAAATCAAGCATCAGCTTCATACTCACTTCTCTCATACAGAAAGGCATAATAATCCATCATTTAGCCGACACTGTCATTCTGCCTGAACAGCTTTTGTGCACACTCATTGAGTTACTCTTATCTCAAGTCATACAGAAATTCAATCTTCAAGTTGGATCTAAATATCAATCTGTCTTTTTGTAATTTGAAGATAAGATTGAAAACTGATTTTCAGCTGGACAAACTAAGAATTGTAAATAGTATAATGTACTGAAAAAGATTTTGCTCACTGAAAGTTTTAAAGCATCCTTGTTTGGGTACTAAAAATGTGGTCTCTTATTGGCAGAGTAAAGAAAATAATGTAGCTTGAGCAGAGAATGAAAACTACTAGCAGAACCGCATGTGCAGCTACTGCTGACAGCCAACTGGTTTTAACAGCATATACTGGGGTTTAAAGCAGAGATGCATAGATATACAAGCATTAAACATGCACAGTACAGTATTCTGACTGCAGCTTGTTAAACTGCTTGTTAAAGAGGTTTCAAAGCTTGTCGTGGCATGCAGTGCGTGCACATCCATGTAGCATGTACAGAGCATGATCAAGGGCACAGCCTCACCACTGAGACAGAGTTAAACTGGGTGAAATTAATTCACTTTCCTGCTGAGATATTTCCCAGGGCACCAGGGGGCAAGAGCCAACTTCATTTGACTTCCCATTGACCCACTTTCACAAGCTCATTGGGAAGCCACTGGAGATACATGTGGACATTGGCTAACACGTACAAACATGGACAAACCTGAGCATGCATTGGCAAAAACCTTAACATGCTAACATACAGTACATCTAGAAAAAGAAAATGACTAGATGAACACACAGCATATCTAAGCAATACTGTTCATCTCACACACAGCCATTACAGCAATAATTTCAATGATTCATATTTTTCTGTAGTCAAAATGCATCTGATATCTAGATATCTGGCTTGTTAATTTAGGAGCAACTCCCACACAAAGATACACATATCACACGCGCACACATATCATCTGTAGATTTCATGCCATGCAAACGGAATGGGTAAATACGAGGACCATTGTCAGGGGAAAAATAGAAAAGAGAGTATGAATTCAGCGACCGCAAGCTGGCATTTGTCTTGAGGCAATCATGCAAATTGTCATCCATGCAGCACCTTTTTTCACACCAACATCCACCCAATGTCACAATTAATTCATCACCTCAGAATTTTAAAGAAGCTCCTGCAAATTTCAAAGCCCTGATTTTTCAAATCGATCCAATTTTTGCAGCGCGATTAAAGGCAGAGGAGTAGAGTTGGTGGCAGAGGACAGGATTATTGCCTGAGCCAACGACCAGTGGGCACAAGAAATCACACTGCGTGATCTGCGAAAGCAGCTGTATTCATTTGGCTTTCATTAGGCTTGTGATTACAGGCCCCTGGCTAGCGTAAGCAAAGAACAAACAGTGTCTGCCTTGGCCCCTGACACTGCCTACAGAGTATCTGACACATTTCACACTGAACACAAAAATAAGCAGTGCAAAAACAAACATGAAGGGCATATTAGAAAAACCATTCAGGCTCAAAAGATGAAAACTTTTGAATGAAATAATAAAAATGAAATTGCTTCATGACTGATTGTAGGGATTTTTGGGTCTAACTGAACCATGAATAATGCGTAAGTAGACTTTCATTTTGATTTTCAAATCAACATCCATGTCATTTTACTAAATTAACAAAACAAATGTGGTTGACTGCTTGATGTGGCATTTGTGATTGTCTTAAGTATTTACCTCTCATTTCATGCTTCTCCAAGTCTCTGAGCATATGGACAAAAGCCAACTGAGATTCATCCAAATCCCAGCTCTTATAAAGCACCTCTGCCTGCACCATATACTTATGACCCTGTGGAACACAGACAAGCCACATCAGTGTAACGTCCTCATCACAGTTTACACACAACTTCATATACAGATATATCAAAAAACACATATACAGCATAACATATGGCATACAACACTGAAAACTCAAAGATAAGATGCATGTTATTTTGTGAACATGCAGCTGTAAACTGCACTAATGCTGATGACGCTTAAGATCTTAAAGAAGAACATCACATTTCATTTTTGCTGTTTTCTGCTCTATTTGACAGAAGCATATGCTTGGCACAAAGGGAGAGAAGGGGCAGAGGGCTCGTTAGCCAAGACTACACCAGAGGTGGTACATTCATCACACTGAACAGAAAAGACAGAATTTAGACAATATTCCAAGGTGGGACTCAAACTAATAGAGCAGGACATATGCTAAAAAAAACCAAAAATATCAAAATATAACAGTTTTATTTTTGTCCAATGTTAATGTTTATAGTTTTAATAGAATATAATAAATGTATTTTACAGAAACTTTATTGTGCTATTTTGTATTGTTTGTTTTTCATGTGTTTACATGTGTGTTTAAGTCCCAAACACGTTACACTATAGGAGCCTTCATCATCAATCCACCATTACTGAGCATCGATATGTCTGGTGTGTGTCCCTGCGGCGCAGACCAGCGCCTTAATCACTGACCCTTTGCTCTAAGTCTTGATCAATGTTCTTTGTCCTGATCAATAGCTGTTTATTCTGGCTTGTTGCTGATCTGTGGGATCTGACATGATCTGTCTCATTACTATTGATGCCACTACAGTGTTGTGTTACTTCATAGACGAGACTAAAAAGTACAGTTTTTGTAACATGTGCTTGATGTTTCCAAACCAAATGTTTTAGTCTGCTGCAAAAAAGTTTTAGAAGTGTTAAAAGGCTCTTTTCACTACTGTAAATATCAAATTAATTGTAGTTATTCATGAGGTGTAAGTAGTTGTTCAGGGAACATTGAAATGATTGGTAGTTGTCCACATGTATCACCAGTATCACTGACAGTTATCACAGTAAATAAACGAACAAATGACAACAGGTCTGTTAGATATAGGGCCTTCAGACAATACAGTGACTCATAAATCATGCATAAATCACTGCTCCTTGACAAGTTAGACAGTAACAACAAAACCACCCCTCCAGTTATGCTGCTCTCCTCTTGCAAATTTTGCCTGAGTGAGAATGTGGGTGTCTGTAAGTTCATGTGTATGTGTGTGTATGTGCATGCCTGCAAGTAAGGCGTTATCTGTATCTGGCAGTGAAAAATTGATATGAACACAGGCAGCAAGCAAGTGGGTGAGAAAGACAGAGAGGGAAAGTGAGATGTGCGCTTGTGTGCGTGTGCAAGTGAGATCAGTACAGTGTTTGAGTAATAGCAGATACCACGCAGATAGTTGTCAGTGATACCATAGTCTCTGTGATGAGAGACTCTTCGTCTGATTTCCCACCAGCTGTCAGTTGAGGAGTGTCTACCACCTTGACTCCCTTGTCCTGAGTGGGGCATCCCTTCTGGCTCTGGTTCTTCTCATCTGTGTGGGCTGTAACAGAAAGAGAGATATTAAACGAGGGTCATGTCTGAGAAAAGACAGATGTGTCCTTGGTTGCATTCCGTTGTACATTAACAGTACTCCCTGCTCAGGGAATATCAGTTAAGGGAACTTCCCTTGACAAAATTCCTTCGTTCGGAACACCCTGCAATGTCACCAACGCAGACATCCTCCTTCCTCCGTGCGTCACCCTGGTAACATAAACACCTCGGATACGTGTTGCTGCTACTGTGGACATTTTACACTACTGAAATAAATGATTGAATACTGCATATATATTGAAACAAAAACCGATACCATTACAAAACTTATTCTATTTAAATGTATGTAATAAATGTGATTTGACTGATTTACAAGATGTTGTCCATTGTCGTTTTTGGCGCACCAGCCGAGTCGCAATGACTGATGGGTAATCTTCTTGTGAACTCCCAGCGAACTAATGAACGGTTGTTCAGTTCTTCCCTGCTCAGTTCACAGTTCCCTTTGAACTGAGCAGCTTTTGCTCAGTTTAAGTAATTAATTAATTAATTATCATTTTGCCTTTTAGAGGAATTCTTTCAAAGCCGCAAGTAAGCTCCAAAGCCAAATGAACACATTGTGTGATTGTGCACCAACATGAATAAGGTGATCCATCCCAAGAAACTGTGCCTGATGACTATGATACTCAATATTTAAGATTAAACTGGGCTGTAGAATTTAAGCAAAATTAGTGTTGAGTGAATTTGAGAATAGTAAAACAGTGAAAGAGTTACACTGCTTCAATATGTTAGTTGAAATATTCATTAGTGTTAATTATCACAGATAAAAATAAATACTGTACATATAACATCATGACACACAGATTCATTAAACAGTTACTTCAATTACTAAACTTAATAGCTGCTCACCTTTGTTGGCCAGGAAGCAGAACACAGGAATTATCACATGGCCTTTCCCCGTGCTGCCAGCCACCTCTTTCTCCTGGTCCAGAATGGACAGATGTATCAGTACATCTGGCTTGGAAGTCTGAAACTGAATTGTTCCTAGGACGTCTGTTGTCACCTGCACAGAGTAACTATGGGAAAATTTCAAATGACTGTGGGTACCATAAGTCTGTCAAAGCATCCTCAATGTTGAGGGGGCTTTTTCAACAGCTTTGTTGAGGGGATATCCGTTGTGTTCAATTATTATTGTCACACCTTGTTTCTAATAATAAAACATCACAGATCACGTACTGTAGTGTAAGAAAGAATAAGTGAGAGCTACTGGACAGCATTTGTTTTATGATACACCCTCGGCAACAACAAATTTTAATATAAATCCTATGATGATGATTCTACTTAACCTTTCAGGTAAATACTTTATATACCCCGACATACCGACATATGACGTTTTTGTCACTGGGGATATAATAATCCCGGAATTCCTTCACTGAAAACGTGCTGTGTGGAGCCTCACGGGACAGTTTTGGAAGGGGTTCCCTTGAGCCAATCAAGCGCATCTGCCACTTGGCACCAACAGGGGGTGATTCAGGTGTGACAGCCTCTGCTACAAAGGTATAGCCAAGCTGGAATACGAGACACAGAGAGGTTTAATTATGAAATCGAAATATTTTTAGAGGTAGTGTGTAAAATAGTTCTCTCTTTTAGGATTTATTTCATGTATAAAACCAGAAATGTTCTCAACAGTATTACATCAGTAAATCACAACTGGTCGCCAAACAAGTCTGTAGCCAATGACTGATTAAGTCAGGCAGGAACTATTCCTGATGTTGAGTGATTTATCATGGTGGTAGTAAAACTATGAATATGGTAATATTCCAAAATTACAAAAGAAATGTCATGTACATGAAAGCTTGAAGTACAAGGATTGGTAGCATTCACAGACCTTGTTGGGTTGATAGACATGGGTTGCTAGTTTGTTGAAGACCATGTTCAGCTCCTCTCCTGTGTCGTTATTTATGACGTGCAACAGACAATTAGGGATTGGGGAGTAGACCTTTGGTACCAACAGCATCTCCTGAGGAACCAGGAATACCTCTCTTCACATATAACAAAAACAAAGTAAACAACAAGATTTGTTTGAGATTCTGAAATGCAGTGCATCAGTCATTTACACCTGAATTCACTCAGATATTTCAAGACAACTTGGGAATTCTCTTTCATTGACAAACCTAACCTTTAAGTTATAATGTTCTCTAACCTAAAGACCAAGACCCAGGAGTTGGCTGTATCTTGAAGAGAGACAGAGTAATCAGCGAAGGCGGTTTTGGTCCAGTCATCCTGCTGACAGGCATAGAGCTCCGCTTTCCTCTCAGAGTGGTCAATAATATACCTGTGCAGGAAACACAGAAGGGGAGAGCTCTTTAAATTCAGTACTAAGACCACATATACAGTGAAAAGACCATGATAAAATTTATGCTCAGAAATAATTTACACAAACTTCTTGGAGAAAACATAACTCTGAGTATGAATTAAATCCAGTGGAAAAAACAGATTGAAGGAAAGTAGTTCACATCTCAGCACGAACTTTGGTTGAAGTGGATGTTTCTGTCAGTTAAGAAAAACACATGCTCAAAGGCTCACAACACCCAGCAAACCCCCACCCTACCCTCCATGCACACATTGACCGAGCTCTGAACGCTCATGCGCACACATACTTCCCCAGGCAGCGGGTCATTCGGCAGACGCTGCTAGCCGATTGGAACAAGGAGAGGATAAACAGCAGATGGTACCACTGGGAAAAGATGGAACACAATGTGGAAAATGCTCCCTGCCTGGCCGCCACAGGCCGCCACAACCAGGAGAGGGAGCATATTCTGGGCATGCGGTGCAACAGAGAGGCTAAACGGATGGCATACAATGTACACAGCACTGGCACAGGACTGGGGTAGAAATGCCTTCATATTCTCTCAGATAATGACTTTTGTGTGAATGAATTTGTGCTACATTAAGGTGCGTAGAGTAAGCATACAAGATTAATACATTTTTATTACTAAGAGTCATTGCAATCATGTATTTGTGCAAAATATATCCTTCATTTACCGTAGCAAAAAGACAGCATTTTTGTCTGCATCTGATTCAACCTTCGGCCACATGTCTGAAAGGATCTTAGATGCACTGAGATTCTCCTTCGTGCCTGGATGACATGAGCACACACACACACACACACACACACACACACACACACACACACACACACACACACACACACACACACACACACACACACACACACACACACACACACACACGCAGAAAAATAACCACCATTAAAGATGATGAAGCACAATCCATGTTGATGTCAAACACACAATAAAATTGTTGTAGCTGACCTAGTTCAGGGTAGGAAAGAGAAACTGCAAAATGCATTTTTGCCTCATTCAGTAAGAGGGGATAGGAGGAGATTACTCACAGCTAGACATTAACTTTCACACTCATCTCACAGGACAGGTAACCACTCTGACAGAAATGACGCGTTGATAAAAAGATGTAGTACTATGTGGCATGGGCATGTGTGTGTGTCTAAGTGTGTGTTTGTGCATATAACTAAGAGAAACACTGAACAGACAACTGAGTGATAGATGTTTTCACATCTGCCACGTGGCATAGATGTCCTCACATCCCCCGTCCAACCCTCCATCCTTTTCCTCAGCTCTCTCTTTTCAAATGGTCACTTTTCCAAATTGATGCAGCCATTAGAGTCGCCAAGCGTAGCTATTGAGAGGTGAGATCTCCCATCATCTTTATAACTAAAAGATGGTTACCAAAGAGAGGCAACAGACAGACAGAACAAGAGGCAGACAGGCAAGAGGGGAAGGAGAACATAAAGAGAGATATAAAGAAATGTGGGGTAAGCAGTGATAGTTTATACCACAATGTACCATGGTATAAACACAAATGTACTGAGCAAGTTGGCATCAAAAAAAAAAAAAAAAAGCCAATTTGTTTTAAAATATGAGTGGTGTTTTGCCATTACTGCAAATGCCACTCTGAAAGCACAAAGTGTTTTTGACAAGTAAATCAATAAAATTTGAGGGAACCATGACAGCTCTATTTCATAGAAGTCAAGCTTATCAGCCATTAGCCATACTAATGCCACATAACCACCAACAATATTTTTAGCATTGCTGGCAGATGGGTTCCATAATGATTAGGATATTTTGGATCTTTGGTATGCTCGAACCACATTTTCAAGCCATAAAAAATTAGGCAAAAACCCATCAACATTATAGCACAGCATTGTTTTATGCAAATGCTGCATTAATGAGGGTGTGCATTCTCCCATATGTGCAAAATACTCAGAGGGTGACAGTGTCACGTGTTGTGCCAAGAGAAGACATAGTTAGCTTCAGGCCCTGGCAATAAATAGAGAATGTCTGGGCAATGTGTCACCTCCAGCGTTTCCTCTGGAATCAACAAACAGTGGTGCACCATCAAAGTGAGATAATTCCCACTATCACTAAACAAACTTGTATAACAAAAATAATTTAACTGAAACTGAGGAACATTTTTAAATTATCTGCAACCTATACATGAGCATAACTGGCCCTGAAACAGTACAAGAAACAAAAAGAAAACATTATTCCAAAGTAAGACTGATGAATAAATTTAGAGGAGAAGCTTCTCAGCTCTCTTCCTCTATTTATTCCCTCGTTCTTTCCTACAAACTGTCCAATGTAGCCTTGTCTTCTCTTCACCATCTTAACTTGCTGTCACTATTGAGAGATTTTTCTGTTGATGCAGGAATGTTGTGTGCATGTGTGTGTGTGTGTGTTTCCGACATGTGTGTGTATCCCCTCCTTGGCCACCCCTCATCTGTCAGGGTGTATTAGTAAGAGTGACAGTCTCATCAATACATATTTGTGCCTCTGCTCAGAGGCTCAATATATGCCATCGGGCTCAATCAAACAGTGAATGTAAGAAGCAGAAGGTGTTTTGTGTGTGTCTAAATAATAATCTACATATGAAACACAGGCATTGTGATGTTTTTTTTTTTAACCTTAGTTTATCCCCTTGAACCTGCTCCATTACTGCAGATGTATCTGTCCTTCAAACAAGAAAGCTAATAACACCGTCTAATTAAAAGACAGAATTCAACTGAAAGATTGAAACCTGATCATGATACTTGAATTAATATATTTGTGTGTATCGATGTGTTTACCAGGTTTTGAGGCATTAAGGATTTCTCGCACCAAGTGCCCTCTGAATCCAGCCTGCAGAACGGTGGCTGCCTTGACCTCCTTGTCTGTTGGCTGCCTGTCTCTCCAGTTTTCTGGAGGTTTTGACTCTGTATCTACTTAACAGCAGAGTAATAGCAGAAAAATGTTAGTTATGGATGAATATTAAACTATGACAACTGTGAAATACCATACAATGACAGTAAAAAATATTAAACATACATATAACATATAAACTCATTTTGAAATTAATTTGATTCACTGTTATGTCACTGAAATCTTATGCTATACTTTGATTAAGTTGTTTAGGTAGAGTAGGTGTCATACAGTGTTTTAATCAACTGACTTCAGCAGTCATACTCACTGTAAGAGGGGAATGAGGATGTTGTACAGTTTAAGGAATAGTGTTTAAAGTTTTGTGCAACTGGCAAAAACTGTTAAATCAGTGATGCCCAATATTAAATGTTTTACGTATACACTCACAAACATATGTAAATGGACAACACGCAAAATTCACAAACACACAAATGGCACCTACATGCAGGTGAGTCTTCTTTGCAGCCAGTGGCCAAGAGCGAAGGGTCAGCAGTGAGGGCCAGTACAGCAAACTGCTCCTCTGCTGTCAGCTTCCTGCCCAGAGCCTTATACAGCATATGGTAAATGGCGGAGTTAAAAACCTATTGGACACACGCACGCACGCACGCACGCACGCACGCACACACACACACACACACACACAGGAAATAGAGGAGAGATATTAGAATAACATATGCAACATGCATTTGTCTGCTTGTAGATCTAGCAACTGTCAATCAATTACCAAGGTATTGTAGGAGAATTATAAGGCCCAAAGATGTATGACTTGATATCACTTGGTTGGACGCCAACAGGAGTACAAGAGCCAGTGTAGGAGAATAACAATCATAACAATAACAAAAGATATGGTTTGGAGGCCAACAGATTGGGCCAAGACAATTTGACCGTTTTGGGAGAAAATCTGGAAAATTAGGAATAAACATAACGTCAAGGCCATGACCAATGGGAGCACAGTGACCTGGCAAGGGGCCACTGTGTTCTGCCAGGAAGAACACAGTGACCTGGGTGCAGGGCAGGAAAACCTAGTTGGTTATAGTTAGGCAAGAGTAGTACGACAAAGCCAAAAGATTGGAAAACAGGATGCACATACACACATATACAGTAGCCACCTGAGATATAAAAGAACATGTTTCGTTCTGTGTTGTGGTTGTTGTCTCTGTCTATGACTGCGAGTAGGCCGTTGTGAATAAAGAGACTCCCCGCTTTGACACCTGTGTCTCGACTGTGATTCTTTTTTTGATCCACCACTTCTCGCCACAACAGTATAAAGTAATGTGAGGTATTCACTGAATCTAAAGTACAAATTGTGTGCCACCATAACCAAGCTACCTTGTGGTGTTCCAATTTTCCCAGGGTGGCATTGATGTTTTGGGGACAATGAGCCTCTTCTAGGGTTCCTCTGGCTGCTAGCTGGTCCTGCTCACCACTGAGGGAAGCCACCACTCTGGACAGGGCTCTCCAAATGGACGAGGCCTGCTCAGTGAAACGAGCACTTTCCTGTTAAAAGATAGATTCTGAATATATAATCATGATTAGATATAGCCATGATTTAGATGACGATTGCTCCAACATCTATCTATATAAATCTAAGGGAGAGAGAGAGAGCGCGAGAGAGGGAGAGATTGTATTCAGAGATTCCTTGGTCCAACACATATCTAGATTAAAAATATCAAGATTTAATCAAAATTTTAAAAAAAACCTAAAGGATTGTCCTGAGAAGAAATATTCATGCTCTGAGTGTTTTCTATTTCATTTGTTTAGTCACCACTCTATTTCTCACTCACTCACTCACTCACTCACTCACTCACTCACTCATTCACTCACTCACTCACTAACTCACTAACTCACTCACTTGCTTGCTTTTTAATGAGCAAGGAAGAGACCTGGAAATGTAGAGGGAAACTGAAACAAAATGCATATCCTCCCTTATATCAGAAATGTAAATGTGAAAGTGTATCTATCTAGTAGCAGCAGGTGGCAGAAAAGAGCAGAGAGGGTGGTCAGATGAAAGAAGGGGCATATACCTGTATATCTTGACAGGTCTGTGTGTATTTAGACACGCAGAATTAAAGTTTTTTAATGTTTCCTGCGACTGTGGTAGACTTCTCAGTTGTAAAACAACATTCACAGATAAGTGAAAATGAAATAAATTGTTGTTTAGTGTTTGCTTCTCCAAACAAATTAAAATCATCTCTTAAATCTCTCTTAAATTCACAAAGGTTTTAGTGTCTAATGGAATTACTATCACTGTCAATTTATAACTTTAGGCCTTGGTCACCTTGGTAAGTTGTGAGATTATGATTTCTTCATCCCCAAAGATGAAAGGTGTCTTGCTGCACAGGTGGATGTGGTAGCCCAGTGCTGCCTTTGTGTGGAAGGACAAGACATGGCGCCTGGAGGCGAGAGAGAGAAAACAGGCACACACAATCCAGGTTTACTGCACACTATTTATAACTCAAAAACTGTGATTCACAACCTTTTTGGTATGTGACCCTTTAAAGAGACTCAAAAAGGTCTATTCACAACTCTTTGTCAAAGGCTGCATAAGGTGCTACCAATTCAACCATTAGTTTTAGTGTTAAAAATACAAGAAATTAATTGTGAGAAATACAGAGGTGTTCTCCCACTCACCACCCTGTGGCTCCACAGTTGTAGGTAATAGTGACTGACAACTGATGGAAAATGCATGAAACAACAGCGCATTCCACTGAATAAAATCCCTTTCTAGTCTATAGTGGAACTATGTTTCTGTCAAGTAATAGTGAGTGGGTCAAACAGTCAAAGAGCTGTAGCCTAATGTCCTCTCTGCCAAGTGCCAAGCTCAGTTCACAAGGCCTGGTCAGACATAAGAGAGTGGAACCCCACTTGCTTGGCCCCATTAGTTTTACATAATTTAGCTATCACAGTCTAACTAGATGGATGAGCACTGAGGCAGAGCTGGGCTAGAGTTGTAGAAGAATAGGAGATCATACAAAAGGGAAACAAATGGAGGAGAGAGAAAAGAAGGGAGGAATACAGGAAGAGCAGAGAGAAGAAAGGAAAAAGAGACAAATGAAAAGGGAAAGGAAAAGGAAGGCTTACAAAAGAGCAAAGACAAATAACTCTTCAAAATTAAAAGATGAGCATAGGACATGTTCAAGAATTACTGATGAAAAACACACAGGGTAAATACTGTACCACATACAGATGGGCAGACAGCGACACAGAAAAAGAAAAAGTGTAAGTGTTTTAAAAATGATTGCTGCCCAACAGCATGGACATATCAGCTATTATCTCTTGGAGAGAGTGTACTATGGGGCATATGGGCATGATAAGTTGAGTGCTATGTGTGTGATTATGGCTCACTGGTAATTGCACTGCTTCATACCTGCACCTGACCCCAGAAACTAGGCCCTCTGCTTCTAGGCCAAGTAGCACCCATTAATAGAGACTAGGACAGATGCTTTTTACTGCTTTTCAGAGCATCTGAGGTAGGCAGATACCCTCTGCTAACTTTATAATAGCTTTAAGTAGATCTCTGCATAGCTGCAAAAAACACAACAACAGTGAAATGCTTATATATTTCTTTCTTTCATCAAAAGATCTCAAGGGTGCTGAGCAAATAATTTTTACATTTTTATGACACATTCTTCTGATGGGATTTAAAGTTTAGGGTAATTTGGGGTTATTATGTGTAAGTGTGAATGTTTAAATTTGAAATGTGAGAAAGGATAACATTCTGTTTACATAAATGTATCCTGAAAATTGACATAATTGATAAGCATTATAGAATGGAAATATTGATATTGTAAACCTCTGATAAGACTAGATTAGACTGTGGACACGTGTGAAGCCTTTGCCAGGTAAAGTGTACATTATTTAATTAGCATTACATGGTAATATCAAGATGTAAAAATAAAAAAGTTCAAGTATGAAATGACAGTACATACAGGACATACTACTGTAACTGATAGATATGTGTTTTTTCCATGATGTTCAAGGGACCTTGATTTAAGCTTGATTAATTTGGAACACAGTTGTCAGTTTTCTAGGTTATGATTGCATGTGTAGAAAAACTACTTGGTCTGGGACTGAAGAGTAAACAATCAATGCTGTCCTACCCTGGAGGTAAGTGAAGTATGGCTGCCTTGGAGGAGGTGGTCTTGACGGTGAGAACAGGCAGCTGAGACTGCAGACTCTTCCAGGAGTGAGGCTGAGCTGTGAGAACTGCAGACCTACATGCTGCTGACATTTCCTTTTCTAAGTGGTGTTGTAGAGGGGAGTGAAAAGGTGTATGGGTCACACACCATCATCACATATCACTAAAACAGTAGGTCAAATTCATAATTCATACAGTTATTATCAATATTTACATAAATGGTATATTTCAAATTGGTTATGATGTAGGTATGGTTTGTGTATGCTGAGGGACAGAGTTATAATTGCAGTTGAAGACTCAAGTAAAGCTTCTTACATTACTTGCACTATCAGAAAATCCTTTTGTATCTGAGTATCTTTGTGTGTGTGTGTGTGTGTGTGTGTGTGTGTGTGTGTGTGTGTGTGTGTGTGTGTGTGTGTGTGTTTGTGTGTGTGGATAATTCCTTACTCTCCCCAGCTGTATCTCCCCAGAGAAGCAGAGCAGAGAAGCTGATGAGGATCTGGGAGGGTTGCAGGCTGTCAACACACAGGTAGTGAGTGCCTCTCACCTCTAGACACTTGGTGGGAAACACACACACACACACATATATATATATATATATATATATATATACTGGACTTAGTTATCAGTAAGAGACAGACAAGGAACAGAAAAAGAGAGAAAGAGCAGAAAGCCATAGTGGGGATGATGGATAAAAGGTGACTTAGTGGAAGAGAACCTGGAGGAAATTACAGAAGAAGGAAAAAATGGGAGAAAAGGAGGTGAGTGCAGGAAATAACAAGAGATAGAAAAGAGCTGAGTGAGCTAAAGAAGCACTTGAGGTGGCACCTGCATAGGAAAGGCCAAGATGGTGAATGTAGAGATATGAGAAAAACCTGTGAGAAAGACAGAGAGATAGACAAATCAGGGGATGAAGATAGGGGAAGAAAAAGACAGATAGGGAACAAGAGAAGAGGTAAAGAGTAACGAGAAAGACAATCTGAATCAGCATTATATACATGCAGACATGCAAACATACACACCCACATACTCAAAAAGTCAGAAAAAGGCCTGTGCTAACACAAATGACCACTGTCACTTTCAGATGACTTCAGAAGAGTGTATGATGAGTGAATGATTCGCTTGTGTGCAATGTGTGTCTGTGTGTTTTTACATGTGTGTACCTCAGGGCTTGCTACGGCAGAAGTCATGGGGGGGGGTCCGGTGGTAAGAGACGATCCATTGCAGTTGCTACCTGTTGCAGTTTTGGACAAGATGGTGCTCTGCAGACAACAGCTAAGTTAATAGCAATATATCAAATACAAACAGCATGAATGTGTCAAAGCACAAACTTATGGAATTATGTGGTAAAATAAATGGAAAGCTTAGAATGTATCAGCACTGGAAAGTGAACATGGAGAAATTAATTATTGGGTTATTTTGAGATGCATACTGTACCTTAAAGTGAGATTTACTAATATGATGTGGGTAGAACTGTGATTTATGGAACACCAACAGAGCCCTAGAATAAAAACACAAATAAATGCCAGTTATTTTTGTGCCTAGTTAATAAAAGCAATGACAATCTTGATCATGTAATTTTTTAGGCACCTCAACTAACCTATTTTTAAGATTGTTTTGTTGTTCTATATACTGCTACAGGATTTTTTACAGAGCATAAGTACATATTTGTGTCTGAGTGTGTCTCACTGAAAACATTTAGCAAAGTCATCCAGGTCCACCCAGGTCTGCTGCAGGATGGGTTTGACAGGAGCTGAGAATTGCTGAGTTACAGGCTCCTTCATTGAAGTTTTAGGTCCATCTGGAGTGGGATTATAAATAGAACTTTATTTAAAATTATTCATTATTGATAATACACATCTGCAGCAATTATCAGTCCTTATCAAGCTGAGAAGCATCTGTGTTGACTGGTGCTTTTCATGCTACACTTAACACCAAATGTATATAGAAATTGTGAAATCTCCTATTTCATAATGCTGCGAGTAACAAAATGCCTTTCCTCTTGTGAATCATAGCAAGTTATCCTAGACTCAAATCATTATCTTAAACACAGTGAATCGAATTGGCCAAACTCCCACATAATGGCATAGTGTAACCGCACATGCACGTCCATACTCCCACTCACTGACTCCCACTATCTCAATGCATGCCGAGCAAAGTCATAGACGTATGCACACAAACACACTCTCAACCCAAAAACACACACACACACACACACACACACACACACACACACACACACACACACACACACACACACACACACACACACACACACACACACACACACACACACACAGAGTTGCTCTGCCCCCGAGCTCTACTCAAAGCGAGAGTCTGATCAGAAAGCTGAGGCGGCGAGGTCCAATGTCTCTGCTGCTGAGCAATGGTGATCTGCTCACTCAAACTGCAGGTGTTACTAAGCAACTAAATGGGGGCAGGGAGAAGGCAGGGAATTGGCCGGTTGTCATAAGACATAATTTCAGTCCCATCTTCTTCAAATTGTCGATCGAGTCATGGAGAGAAAGATGGATGGAGTGGAGGCGAGAGATGCAAATTCTTCTAATCACATTAATTGGACTACGCTGCACAGATGCTAGTCAAATCAACCAATAACGAAGACCTTTACTACATTCATCAAGTCCAATAAACCAGAATTAATGAGCATCTGCCCCTTCTGGCAGCCTAATATTTGACCTCGGGTAAGGCGATCTTGTGTACAGATAAGGTACAGATTATTTTCAACATGAATGAGGGGCCCAGCATTGTAAAGGAACTGTTTTTACCATTGGAGATGTCACCACCGTCCTTCTTCCTGTCCTCTGCAGTAACCTAGAGGGGCAGAGAGAGAGAGAAAAACAGAGAGAGTGAGAGAGGCATGAACAGTGAGTTGCTGATAGAGTAACACTGCCAGAGATACGCCTCCACCCTCTAGTGATTCCATGCCAGCTGTGGTGTTGCGCCATTCTCGCCGAACACCACAGGACACGAGACGGTTTAATGTGACAAGGGCTGCTCCTCCCCTGCTAAAAACACCACCAGGGAATACCAGCTCTAATTTACTTCGACTGTCAGTGACAGATGAGGAGTTATTATGTTGTTTAACATGTTATTTCTCTTAGAGGGGAATTACTCAACAGCTCTGATTTCATGCTCGTCTGCCCAACACAATAAAGAAATATAGCTAATGAGTCATTATCAAATCCTTCAAATACCATATTCTTCTGTCTGAACAAGGCAGGACATGATGTGGTCTGGAAAACGGCATTAGCTTTGATAACAAAGCTGGATTCAAGTGCAAGGAGAGTGGTACACCTGTATCAACTAGCATCAGCTAACTTCCTCCAGGCCTCTTCATTTGAGTTTTTTTTTTTTTTCAAACAGTGCTCCCTTGAGGAAAAATCTTGGTGAATGTCCAACAGTTTACTCGGCTCTGAATAAGAATTATGGCTATGTGTCGTATAACTTCAAAGCAACTTCTGCCAAGACTCTGATGAGTCAGAGTGAGTGTGTGTGTGTCTGTGTGTGTGTGTGTGTGAGTCACCACTTATTTGAATAAGTACCCAGAAACCCAGACAGATGGAAAAAAGCATTGTGATTGGGAGGCACACTTGACCTCCTCTCCACCACTATAACAATACCTTCCTGCAACAGAAATGTATATGTGTGTGTGTGTGTGTGTGTGTGTGTGTGTGTGTGTGTTTGTGTTAGTTTGTGTGTGTATAAAAGAGTCGTGTCCACCCACATCATGCCATTCTATTCGATCGCTTGTCTTACCATCCTATAGTAAGAAGACACTGAGACTGATATATCTTACACACAAGCCTCCTGGGATTTTAAGCTTCTACTTTCAGAGGAGGCAGTGTTTTTTTCTGTGATCAAATCACAGACTTGGATTGATGGGAGGAAGAGGCCGCATTTCTTTAATCCCATGGGGCTTTATTTTACATAGCCAGAGTTAAATCTTTGCTCTCCATATTTCACATTTCACCATAGACTCTGCGTATTTCACATGTTCCTCTGAACTGTAACTCAATTCATACAGGAAAAAAATGACATAAAATTAAGTCAAAAATCTCTTTGTGGCAGTTCACAGGCACATGGAAACCCGTTGATCTCACAGCCCAAACTGGACTTTGGGTAGTGTAGTTCTCTGGCATCAGCAAACTGAAACCATGGAGGGGCTTTAATGATTTAGTAATTTTAGTGATTATCCACATTCCAAGCATATTAGAGGTTAAAACTGCACGCTTACTCCAGGGTCTAATGCTTTAACCCACACTAAAGTTGAGTGAGTAGGTCAATGAGGGTATTAGAGACATCATGTGACACCACCTTTTTCTATTCTAGGAGCTAGGCACAGAGGTTGAGTCTGTTGGCCAGCATTGACAGAAACAGAGGAATCAAAAACAGTAAAAACTCCTTCTCACTTGATCTACAGTCCTGTCAGCACGTGACCCACCACGCACCTTGCGATGAGCGGGAACACACGTTCAGTATAAATGTGGCACACATAGGACATATACACAAACCAATCCACACGAGTGCGTGTACGCACACGCACATCCAACGACACATCAAATTAGCGTGTCCATACTGCCCTAGCCTAACCGCTCTATAACTGGTCACAGTTACACAAGAGGGCGATTAATATGAACTCTATTTTTTCTCTGTATGCTAGGAGTGAAGTGTAATAATGAACCCCCCAGGAGATGCAGACACTGATGGCTCACCATCTAATTGCACTGCTTTTTTCATCAGCGCAGTACACGACCTCTCCCTGTATGAAACCCACGCGCCCCGTTCACCACCACCACACACCAGAGATTCTCTTTTCCCATATCTCCCTGTTTCTTGCTCCGCTTTCATCTCTCGTGGTCCAACTGTCACTTTCTCTCCATTTTTCAGTCCCCCTCCTTTCTTATTCGTACAGTTGGCCCCCCCCCCTCTTTATTCCTCTCTATCTTTGTTTCTATCCTCGTCTATGTGTCTCTCCGCTGCTGCTCTGAACCCCAACCCCCCTTCATCTCCCTTTCCGTCACTGGTTCTCTCTTTAGTGCAGATGTGCCCCTGGTCAGTGGTGGCCTGGCTGGGAGACAACAGAAGTGACTTTGAGACTGGGGGATGGCAGCCTTGTTGTCACTGACACACAGAGCTACTCTGATGAGCCTTCAACTGCATACTTACAGGGTAGACAGAGGGGTGGGGGAACAGGGAGAAAAAAATAGGAAGAAAGGAAATAACAAGAGGAGGCAACAATTTTTTGCAGACAGCTACTACTATCTTAGTTTGTGGACAAATAGCTTTGCCTCATAGATATGAAATAAATGGCTCTGGGTAACTACAATTAATTAAGGTTCTATATTAAACAACAAAATGCTCTGTAAAGTGTTAAATACCAACATGCTTAATGTATGTGCCCAGCAGACAGTAATTCTCTGTACCTCTATTTTGTCAGTGCTGTTTGGTGAGTTAGTGGTGCGTTCAGCTGCATCAGGCTCAAGGCCTTCTCGGTCTTCAGTCTCCCCTCTCTCAGCAATGGACACCAGAGGGGACCCAGAGGAAAGCTTCCTCGGAGCGCTCTGCTTTGTCTCTCTGACACACAAAGACACGTATTCATGTGCACATACAGTACATTCACCAAATCATCATCATCATGCCACACATGCACCTCATCTCATGGTCACATATTTAGAAGCAATAAACCATATCATCTACAGTGCAAATGAATCATACGTGTCACATTATTTACATCAAATGACACCAGAGCAGCATTTCACTTTAGCTTAAGAATGTTGGCAAACATTTCTTTCAGCTAGTATAGTAATAGACAAGTGAAAACAGATATATGTTTTCCATATATATGGCTAAAAATGCCTGATAGTTTCAGTTTGTCAGCTGCTTGTATGTCATTTCCCTGTTGCAGGGAGAAAAGGAGTAAGAGATGGATTAACAGGAAGAAGATAGGAAAAGGAAAAATAGTAATGTCATAATGATAATGTACTTCATTCATCTTTCCTCCATAGGGAGATCAGAGCACAGGTTTTCTAATGGCTAAGTGAGCAGAAGAATTGAAGGGAAAAAACGATACATCTCACTTAATTTTTTGAGTTTTAGATCATTTCAGTGTACACACTGCTCTGAGATTGAGCCAACACTGCTCTTGACACGGTAGGAGAGGAAAGGGCTGGCAACCTCAATGAACTGCTCTGGTTTTGACAAAGGGAGCTCTGCAAAAAAGAGAAAAGAAAAAATCCTCACACATCATGCCAACACTGCTTTTTCACACTCTTGACTTTTTACTGAATTTTCTGTTTTTCACTCAGAGATCAGCTGATGTCAGATATGCCCAAACCTGAAGCTATTTACAATACAGAAATATTGTACCTATCCCCTTCCTATTTTCATTTCTGCATGTGGGACTGCATGCCCTCTGTACTGTAGGTTCTAAATCTCCTGCATTAACACTCTCTTTCCTTTCTAGTCATATTTATTTATGAAATTCACCTACACTATTTGTTTTATATCCTCCCCTGCATCCTCCTCCTGGTTTCCCCTTCATCACCTTTTTTTTCCAAACTTAATTTTAACATTTGTTATTCCCTGTTTCCTTGTCTGTCTCTCACTCACTCCGTGGTTCATCAGTGACCACAATTTCCTTGTGCTGGCGGATGAGTTTCCAGCGGGGCACAGGTAGTGGTTTGTGTGGTGCCTCCAGCTGGCATGCCCGGATTCTGGTCAACAGGACTATGTGACTGTACAGCCAGGAGAGACTGTATCGACGCAGGGACTCTGAGGAATTAGCCTGTGATCCAGCACATAGACAAATTCACAGAAATTAACGCACATGCAGCACTCACTGGGAATGCAAACTAACAAAATATCTAAAAATATAGTTTAAAGTTATTATTCCACACTGAGATTCATTGTCACCTGTAACCAGCTCTACAGGTGTATCACTTCAAAATGTCATAAGAGGATTCTGATCCAAGATCAGAGTGTAGAGGTATTATAACCACCTCCTGGAAACTGTCCACCAATTAGGTTTTGCATGGGTGTAAATAATAAAACAAGTGAAGCCTGTTGAGGCGAAGCATCCAAATAGAACACAACATGCCCCCAGATCACAAGCACTGTTATGTTTCATCTCCACCACCCACTGCTATGGGGTTTCAGTGCATTTTCACAATGTTGTGCTATATAACAGAGGTGACTTAGACAGTACATATTTTAAAAGGTGTTGAAACTCAATTGTATGTGTTAGTAGTTTTGATTAAACCATAATTATATATGAGTTCATTAAATAAAATCTGACAATTCAAAATATTCATTGTATATTTATTTGGGTCCACAGATTGGGTCAACATAAAAATAAATAAGAACCATTTGTACTGCTTAGGTCATTGATAAGACGATATCACAGTTGAGGTTGCCCTTTCTCTCTTCGAAATGCTTATGTAGGCATTCTGGCCAGATTGCACCAAGACTATACAGTATTTGCATCATAATGTGGATCTCTGTTCTGCTTCCAAGTCTGCAATAAAGATCTAACTGTAATTTACCATTTTCATGGATGCATATGTGTCACATAACAGTGTAATGAAAGCACAAGTGTGTATATGTGGCAATCAAGAGAGGAGGAATAGTGAAAAGTTATACCATTTGGCCAAACCCAAAGGAATTATGTGGCTGGAAAGGGTAGTAGCTGGCACACACCACTACCTCGGGGTTACCTGAGAAACACAGAAAAAGAAGACCTTTATTTAATCAGGTAATCTCATTAACATAAGCACAGGTAAACCCAACAGACCCAACAAACTCACACAATGTCACATAAACACACACACACACAGCTACATGGACACACGTGTATATATACTATATAGGGTGACTGATATTGTAGAACTGGTAATGTATCATGAAACAGTAGATTTTAGTGGCTGACTCTGATGAAATATATTGATATAGTAAAACTTGGAGCCATCTAGCAATGCAAAATAATACTGACAAAATTTCCAAATCAATGTTAAGTGAATCATTGGAAATATGAAAGCACTACTGGCCTTCACGGATATAACGAAGGCAACGATACAGTATCTAGGTTATCTACGGATGGCCCTGCCTCCTAAGTGCATCTTAGAGTATACTGTAAGGAGCGCATGCGCCAGGAGACATGGAAAATCAATTTGAAGGACCATGGTGAAGAGAGATGTGAGCACTGCCAGACTAACTTAAAGGCTACACATTAAGAATTGAACAGAGAAGTGGTTCTCACACTGCATGGTGATTTATGCATTTCGATTTATGCATTTCAATGGAACATAACAGTGAGCACGGAAACTGCGAGAGAGAGGATGTGTACAGTTTTTTGTGTTTGAATGTGTGTGTAAGCACCATGCAATGCATTTCATTAAAACATAAATGTTTTGTGAAGTAATACCACTTTGTGCCCGCAAGCCATTTCATTATGGTAATACCTAACACTAACACTTAATTATTGTAAACAAGTGGGAATGTAGGCGAGACCAAGAGACAGATTACTGTCAGAAAGAGCAGGTGGGGGAATATGAGAGAAAGAATTTTAATTCATACTGCTGCCCAATCACAAAAAAATGTCATATTGTATTTTTGAATATGTCAGTAGTTTGAATGCAATACAAATTATTATACGAGAGGGCAATTTTGGCCCATATTATTACTTTTGCATCACTTTACAAAAGACATATACTGCACAATGCCAAGAATGATGAGCATGATGATGTTAATTCAAAACTGCATTTCAACAATAAACTCTGCTTTTCATTAATTCTACAACCTTAATAAAAGGTTTTATCTCTCTACTGCAATGACCTGAAACAACTCTAAGCCTGTAACGCTTTTCTGAGGACATGTTTCAATCCTGCCTTCATCAGATAACCACACTTGACTTGGGAGGCTCCTCTGCCCTGCGGGAACACCAAATAATTCACCCTGCTACTGTTCCCTCTGCTGGTTTATTTATAGTCCACCATACATGCATTAACCCTTCCTGCACTTCATAATATATGAGCTTGGGAAAACAGGAAGTGATGCTTGAAACAACAGGAAAGAGGCAGCACTGGTTGACTGACAACAGGGCTCAGAAATGGATGTAAATTTGCAGTATGGCATGATTGTGACTTTAGACCTGGTGTCTTTTTTGTCCTAAAGTAAATCAGCGGAGCAATAATATGAATGCTGCAAATGTTCAAAGGTTATTACTGCTATAAGAAAATGGAATCATTGATAAGTGCAAGTTTCTGTGGGACAATGAAATATTCATTGTCATGCTCTATACTAGTTGAATTATGGATGCAGAGGGAAAAAACAGAGATTTACACACACTGCATTCGCATACATACATAATACATATACACACACACACACACACACACATATATATATATATATATATATACACATTATTCTGTGCATACAATGATCACAGTCTAATGGATGATTGAATCTACTGACTCAATTACATGTGCGTGCAGAGTGTGTAATTGAGATGTATGTTTGTGGATATGCATGTGTGCATAATTGTGTGCCTCTCTGTGTGTGTGTGTGTGTGTGTGTGTGTGTGTGTGTGTGTGTGTGTGTGTATGTGTGTGTGTGTGTGTGTGTGTGTGTGTGTCTGACTGTGGCACAATTCTGGCCTTTACTTTTCTCTTGCTCTGGTAGCTGGCTCTTGCTGTCATTCAGGCTGGAATCTCTCCCAGCAGTTGGATCTGCAGTCTGAGGCTTTGTCTCTGGCAAGCTCTCACCCGGGTGTGTAAATATAGGAATGGTATCTTGTAAGAAATTCCAGATATCTCCCACAGATCTGAGAGGAGGTTAAAGAGAATATGATTGATTACAGGTTAGTTTATCACTTCATTCTCAATTATTTTTCAGTTTGGAACCGGTTTCAACTGTTGTATGAGCACGCTCTCATGTCTATTGTTTAAGCTTACAACACTTGAAACACCATGACTGCTTTGGTATCAGATGAAGTGTACTGCTTTTAGCCTCATAAACTTGTTGCAGTTTTTGTCCTGTTCTTGTATTGCTCCTTTTTGAGCAATACAATGGGCTGCAGCATTTACATCAGTATATCTCCTTCTCGCAAAAATAAAGTAGGCTGCATAGTACAATCTTCTCTCGATGTTAACACATCCTTTAGACAATATTTGTCATTAACTTCACAAACACAACACAATATAATGACAAAACCACTGAGGTATGAAGTTGGAGAAAAAACAGTTTGGAGCAGTTGGATCCTAACCTCCTTACTTTCCTAGATTTATGGGCCATCTCAGCACAGTCAGACTGACAGTGGTAATGGTAGGCTACTATCTTAACTTTGTATACCATAAACAGTGAGCATCATCTTCATGTGTGATAAGCGAGTGAAAGGTCGAGAGACATGTTATCTTATTTGAAGGACATCACTTGAACAATAATTTAAAGGAACACTTTAGTGGTTTTTAGCCTGATCATGTCATTGTCATGTGAGGACATGTGCAAATCTGTAATAAAAATTCCCACTGCAGTTTATGTCTGCAGAGCTCATGACGGCCAGCTCTTTCTGCTGCCAAGTGGTTAAAATCTGGTTTGAATTACATCATGTACTTCCCCTTTTTCAGCAGCCTCAGAGAGAAGACTGAGCAATCTTTAAAATCACACAACCCAAACAAACAGGTCCTCCATCTTGTTAGCTCAGGGGTTGTGAATGGTAGTAACAATGGCTGATAATGAGGCACCTGAGTATAATACTGGGTGTTTAAAAAAAGTGATTTTTTTTAACATATAACTTTGGATATAGTTTTCTGTATTACAATAATGGCTGCTTTAAGTATCAGTTAGAATACTGAACATCCCCAGATTTCTTATGCCAACCAGATGCCACTAGAATTTAATATATGTTAGTACAATTACAGATAATATCATTAGATGAAATTAAAAAAAAAATTTCAGCCAAAATATTGCTAAAACAGTAGTGGATGATGTAAATAAAACCTTCTGTGTGGGTGTGTTCATGGATATGTGCACATAAGAGTATATACCCATGTGTCACAAATCAATCTGAAACAAAAACACAGTCATGCTCAATGCCTGTACGTGTTGATAGACTCCCCAGGCGACTCACTAACAGAAGCTAACCTGCTGAGCTAGGGAGAATAACATTCCCCGGCTCCACTCCAAAACACTGTTGCCCCATTAAAGTTCCATCACTGACAAGCTGAGATTCTCCACTGCATGCTGCCTCTCCTCCCCCTTTATTACATATCTCCTTGTTTCCATTTTAGACCTCAGTCATTTTCTCCCAAAGTGTGATTTTTCATACTGCTGTAGACAGATACACTTCTCACTCACAATCTCTATGATTTTGCTACAGTATACTTTACAAAATAGTGAACGTGACAGGGAAAATGTAAACCTTGCCAGACTGTGTCAGTCAATTTGTGCCACAGCCTTTATTGTGATAAACTACTACAGATTAGATAGTCTGTCTGCTTCTCACTTTTTTTGTAAAGAAGAAATTAAAAAAAAGGAAGAGAATGTCAAACCCTTTATCAATGACACAATGAAGAGGACTGCATATATAATTTTAGAACATGCAACTAAAGACAGAGGTGAGGAAGACAGAGATAGAAGAGTGGAGTGGACCAGTGAGGATCTTACTTTATAGGCCTGATTTCTGGGATCCAGGCGGTGAGGGTGTGGATAAATGTGAACTCACCCATCTCCCCACAGACCTCTGGCACTACACTGAAAAAAGCAAACATGAGAAAATTATTAAAACAACTACAACAGTTTATTAAAAAAAAAGACAAATGCAACAAACTAGACACTCCATTTAAACCACTCAAAGTGGCATTGGCATCGCTCTCAGATGGAACTTTTGAGGTCATAGTTTCAATATGTTAAATTGAGCACACAATATGCTTGGCCCCTTTAAGAGGGTTAACTCATGATAATGCTGTTGCTAACCAACTGACAACACAGATAGATGTAATTTTCTCCTTCAAAAATCATGAAGGACTGTGCGTTTTCTGTCTTTATTAACATCACGTTAAGGAATGACACCAGTCAGGACTCCTGAGGGACTCTGTGAACTCCGCCATTTTTATTATATTAGTGTTGGTGTTCGTGATTAAAATTTATTACGAAAAATCATAAATACAGAAGAAGCTAAATGTTCAATCTGACTCTCACTCTGGTCATTTAAGGCACCATCACAAGCTTATATGGGTCATCAAAACTGTGTAGTGTTGTATTAACTTATTTTTTTCTACTTCCTGTCTAACTGAATGAGAGCTATACAGATTCAGCTTATGTTATGTGTATGAATTACATGGAGAATTTTGTAAAGCTCTATAACTGATTTTGAGGAGTGTGAGTGTGTATCCCAGTTGAAACAGATGGCTGCAGCTGCTCTAATTGGTCCTCTTAGGATCCTATGGCAATCCTGTCCAGTCCATGGTCATGACACCCAAGTAAGTGAAATCAATATATCTTGATTGTTAATGTTACAGTCCAGAACAATTACATTTTTTTTTATTAAAAAAAAGACAAGCATTTTTTCTAGAGCCCCAGTAGACACCTAGGTAGTCCTAGTTCAGTATGTAGAACTTTCACTACAGCTTATAAATGATTCACCTGGAGAGAGGCTCCTCTGTTTCCTGTCCTGGATAAAACATTTATGTCTTGACCTTCTGTGGACACTGGAACAGCCACCTTTACACACGCCATGTCGCCCCATCACAGACACACACACTGCCTGTCTGTCACCAAATTCAACTCAGCCCAAGGCAGAGATTAGGTCAGGTGATGGTCTGGTCAGGTCAGCAGAAGGCCCTCTGTGGAGGTTCATGTGTAAGTGTGTGTGTGTGTGATTGCTTTCATTTGTCTAGTTTATTTCATTTCCACTAATGTTTGTACTGTGTGTATGTATGTCGACCAGAAATTAACTCCCTGATCCCTGATTTCCCCTTAAAATTGTACTCCTGGTGAACTACTACATATATCAAAACAAGGAATTTGAAATTGGACAATAGTATAACCCTGTATACTACTTTACTTAAGCAGGGTTGGTTTACAGGTTTAGTACAAAAGGTTAGTGTGTATAATGTGTAATGTATTTTTACAGTGGTGTTATCAGAGCCAGGCTGTAGTGGGTATATACATGGAATGAGGTTGAATCTGTTCTTAAGGTGTCTTACTTTAACACTATAACAACTGTTTCCCAACTCCTTTGTGCAGATGCTCATAGAGTTTATGTTGGAATGTGCAGTAACTCACTTTGTGTTAGCCACTTTTATGAGAGCCTTTGCCAGCAACAACGGCCACAGCTCTGACTGACAGGTGGAGGCAGGGAGGAGAAGGTTATTTTCTTCATCAAATGGCATGTAGTCGTCTACTGTTATCTTCCTCCAACAACCCTGAAAACAAGAAAGGAGGACACCGTGAGTGAAGATGTGGTATAACAATCAGTGCACCTCAAATAGATGTTTAAAGAAATTATGTTCACTTTAAATTAGTTTTCAAATTTTATTCAGACTGCAGCAATTGATTTAAACCTATGAAAGTAAAAGTTCAACATCTTGGGAAATACTGTACATTTATTCACTTTCTTGCAGAGTTCAACATGAAAATCAATACCACTCATGTAGCAGCAGTAGCTAGCTAGCCTAGTCGAAACAGACTAAACATTGGAAACGGGGAAATAGCCTAGGTGGAGACCTGGGGGGGGGGTAATTTGCATCACTTTCTTATGCAAAACACTATGTTTTATTGACAGTGAATTACTCTAAGATGGAGCCAAGTATATCTAATTGCCACCTTATTAACCATTTAAGTAAATCAAAATAAAGGTGAGTCCTATTGTTTTTAATGCTGCTTTGAGTGCCACATATGGATAATTGTATTTCCAAATATAAATGTCCATGATTACACATAGAAACAAAAGAAGATATGTTGACAGGTTCTAAGAATCCACAAAAAAATAATTCAGCTTAAAAAGAGGCATGGTCTGAAAGCATATTTGTAATATTCTGAAATTGATACGATATCATTTTTTGTTACATACATTCAAAGATTGATATTTGAGCTACTGTACATCAACACAAATCTGATGCTCTCAGGCCAGAATGAGGCACTGAGTAGCACCAGAGTAGCACTGGCATCAGCTGTCCAGCAGCTGTTTCATCCATGCTCTTTATGATACAACCAGCGTCTGGTTGGCCACCAGCTGACTGGTAACATCCAATCACATTCATAGAAGTGTACTAGCAGCAGCCGTTAAAATCTTAGAATTCTCACTTTTAATCTGCTGATACCTTCATGCCAACACTGCTTGCTGAGGCGGATCTCCGCTACCCCACTCCTCCTTATGTGCTAAGCTTTTGGGACTGTTGACTCTGCTGGGATGTCAACAGGCTTCTCTGATTCTGTACCACAGCAGAATTTTCATTGTTGCTTAGATTCCTTTTGAGTTCCCTACAAACCAGAGCCTATTCTGCCAAATTTAACTATAACTATTTTCAAGTCCATTGTGAGACAACTGGTTTTAAAGGTAATGATAGGAGCAAATGTGATTGATACCAGCCTCTAACACATCTAGTGCTTGTGCAAAATAATCAATGTCTCTACCCATTTCCAAGTGTGCAACATGTGTGACTTTGATCATTACAATAAGCACTAAAAGAAGATTTTTTCTTAAAAACACAAAATGTTACTCATTACCACAAAATTTCTGATCTATGGGTTTCATATTCATATTCCATATTTCTCCTAGCATCAGCTATGCTTGCATCTTTGCATCTTGTGTGGTGTCAGAGCTTGTTACATGCTGTCTGTGGAGTGGTCTGTCTACTGGCCGTCTGGGGGAGTTTCACACTGCTTGTAAGGAAAAGCAGCACAAGCAGATGATAATCTGACTGACTGTTCACAGCTGTGCCTCTCCCTTATCTATGAGAGCAGTGTGCACAAGCAATGCAATCCTATATACAGTTTGGGAAGGCACACTCCTTTCCTTGCTTCTTCTTTCCATTATCTTGTCAAACCATCACCCCGAGGAAGAGCTTGATGTGTTCACAGATGGGGTAAAATACAGTGCGAAAGGGCAAGTTAGAGGAGGAGGGGAGAAAAGGAGGAATGGAGAGACAGATAGGGTTGCAGGATGGTAAAAAAACAGGGTGGCGAAATGAGAATAGAATGGATATTCACAGTGGTGTGAAGGCAGAAACAGAAAAGAGATTGAAGAACAATAAAAGGATCAGACAAGCTGGGGAGAAATGGAGTAGCCATGAGCCAAAACAGGCAAGGAAACAGGATCGAGGGTTGGGGGCTGGGTGCTTAATGCCATCTCAACAACCATCTGTTCGTGTGCTCTGGTTGGCACGAGGACTACCGCCTACAACCGTGTCATGCTTGTTTGTCAAGGCAAGAGTCACAGTGTTACAGGACACCACCACTTTTAGCTGTGTGTTTCACTCTCTTGCTGATCCAAATTGTTGCGCAGGAAGAAGTTCCCTTTCTGAAATGACGCAATGATGTAGTTTCCACTACCCAGAAGTCTGTGGCACATACTGAAACTCACAGGCCAGCATCTTCATGCTGTATCCCAATGCAATGATGACCTTTATTTAGGAGGAAAAAATGTGTAAAATCCTTACACTTAATATGATAATGCAGTGCATGGAGCCTTCCCTGGGTTGTGCCTGCTCTCATAGACTTACTAGGCATCAATATCCAACTTGAGCCTTGCTCTCTGAGAATCAGCTGACTCCTGTTAAGCCTTATCTATTCATCAGGCAATGTATGAAGCCCAGCCACTTTTGGCACAGCAGTGAGACTGATTGATTTGAGCTCTGAGTGGATAAGGCTTTCTCATTCCTTCCCCCCTCCATCCTCAGTCCATCCCAATTCCCCTGTCATCTGCTGCATCCTATGGGGTCTGCTGAACAATACAATACAATTTCATGTCATCCATTGCATCAAGTGCGCCCCCTCTAAAAAAAAGTGTGATTAACAAAGAGGCATTGTGACACAATGACTTCATCTGAAAGGATGTCAGGATTTTTGAGTTTTCTACCATGTTTTTCATTTTCATACAGTGTAAAGATCAGACCAAAAAGCCATCTTATTGTGAATAAGAGTTCACAAAGTCCTCAGTAGACTCTGATGACTACGTGTCAGTGGGTGTCTGCATGTGTGTGTGTGTGTCTGGCTTACCATCCAGTAGAGCCTGACCAAGTATTTCCCATAGTTGTTGTAGAGCGGCACATGATTTTTCACCACCTTACACAGCGAGTAGATGTGTTCCCAAGGTTTCCAACCCTCCTGTTCTGTAGATGTATTGCTATGCAGCGTCCAAGTAATATAGATTTCACTGATGATCCACCTCATTATCTTGATCGAAGATGGAGGAGAGAAGGGGAAGAAAAATAATCACGGGTCAAATAACTACCAACAAATCTTTAGATCTGTTGGCTGAATCATCAATAATCTGATCTATCATTCAATAAATCAATTGGGCATTGCATTGTACCCCAGTCTCATTCATTTCTGTCAGTCAAGCGTCACCTGTTTGTCATCTGACTTAAACAATCAGTGCAAGTGCTGATCGATACTCACTAGCCAAAAGTCAATGTGATCTTTATTGGAGAAAGCTGTTGATAACTAACCTCACTGTGAATCAGATGATCATTCGGGGAGATTAGGTTAAACTTCATTTGATTTTCAACAACAACAGGACCCTGAAAAAAAGCACAAAATTGTTTTCATTGTAGGCACATATTGATCTGTGAATTGATAAAACTTTCTGAATTAAGGTTATTAAATAGTGTGTTGTGGCATCTCTACACATGAGAATCACTCATTACAATAACACAGTGGCAAACCAACTTTAGAATGTTGCTGTCACATGATCACGTTTAAAATGGACATGAACACGTGACCTACTTTATGCTTCCCTACTAATCCCAAGGCCTGAACTAGTCTAACCTCGCCATGATACTCTCTGACTGTGTCTGTGATGAATATTTAACTACCAAGTTAATAGACTCCTCCATATTACTGAATAATTTGAATTAATGGCTTAGGTGATAGTGAGAGAGATTCGCTGTGGGTCATGGGAGGTTGTGTTTTCTCCCATCTTTGCAGAAACTGAAAGTGAAAAGCTAGACTTTTGAGAAATTCAATCAATAACTGATTTGGAAAACAGACTGGTATAGACCAATTCGGAGGGAAAATCACAGAAGAGTTGTTGCCTGCAACTGCACGGCTGATTGCTTTTTTGATTAGCCCGTGTTCCTTTTGTATGAAATTAATAAAAATGCTTTTGACATCTTGAGTGAAAAGGCAGCGTGTGACCTGCCAAGGACTAATTCAAAATGCAGGAAGCTTCCAGTAATTGCTAAATACTGCTCTGAGAGAGGGGTAACAGAAAAGTGGAGAGATGCAATTAAAACTTCACTGGAGGTGACTAGAGAGCAGATTTCCATAACTACATTTCACAAAGAAATTCACTTTGTTAATATATGTAATATGTAAGCTGGAACCATCAGATCAGTTACTTAACCTGTCAATTTTTCTGATTAGTGGATTAATCCTTAAGCCAAAGTAAGACCATGGAGTCTATTAATTCTTTAGTCTAAAAAATGTAAAGACTAATGACCACAAAAGGCTAGAGGAAGGCTATTGTCTTAAATATGGTTATTTTTGGACCAATTAGCCAAAATCCCACATGTAATAGATTTCAAAGCAGCATTTGAGCAATTGAAACTAGCAAATGTATATTTTTTTATGATAAATTACTTAAACCGTTGATGAGTAATAAAAGTACAATAAATCTATTTCATGTCAATTGATATGAAATCATTTTATCCCTAATTAGTGTATATGTGCCTGAGATACATGCTTGATCCTGTTTATTACTGTTATCCTTTGTGTGTATTTGAACTGCTGCATAATGTACACTGTAACAGTCCAAGTATAAACCAATTGTGTCGATTACAATGACATGGATCAACATTGTCAAATTAGGACAAGCAGACATTTGACATGTACTGTTCCACTAGAAACCATATAATTTTTATAGAAGGATCAAGGTCACCTTGTTGACAATAAACTCTGTAGGACGTTTCCAGGAGTGCACTTTCAAAGATGGAGGCAGGGTAATTTTTCCCTCAGGATCTTCAAAAAATGGCTGCAAACACAAGCAAACAAAGTGAACGTGAAATACAAAAGTGCAGTGAACAAAGAAACAATATAGTGTCAACATCAATATCAGCGGTAAAGTGGGTCTGAAGGAAATTTGCATTGTTTTCTGCTCCAGATTTACCGTGCTGGGACTCTTGCTTGTCTTTCCATCTTCAGCTCCTTTATTTGAGTCCCATTTCTCCTTGCTGACTTCTGCATCGTTCCACTCAGGCCATATGGGGAATCTGCACTTCCACGCACCTCCTAGACTCTCTGAGGAAGTGGCAACTAAGGACGCTGCTCTGAAAACATGACACATAGCAATTCCTTTCATTTGTTCTTGGCTTCCCTTTTGTCAATATTTAGCAGCAAAATGATCCTGTTCAGAAGCAGAGATTCCGTCAAGAGTAAACCCACCAAATCTCTTGTTTACCCTCTCTTAGTGAAAGTGGTATTAGCTTATTAGATACTGCTGGCTGTTATCGTTATGATGATCACAGACTGGGGATTAACACACATACCATATGTGATTTTGTACATGTCAAGTGGCTATCAGGCTTCTGATTCACAGCAATAGATAAAATATGATGTTCTGCCTCTGGTACATGGATGTATTATAAGATCAGGCTCTGGTACGGTTAGCAAGCTTCCTGAGTGTAAGCTAACGCTAATGCTAACTACAGCTGTCCTTAATTAAACCTATTTGCCAACACTAACCCAAACTCACTCTGTCTGTCGGTCTGATAAAGAGACTTTGCTGGAGGAGGACTCCTTTTTCTTTGGCCCTGCCTTGGACATTGCAATTGGTGGGATAAGTGTGAAAATCAAGTGACCAAGAAACGAGGAAGTCGGGTAGACCACCGGACTCGCGTTTGTTTGGAAATGTCTCTGCTCTTGAAAGTTTAGGCGTTGCTAAGCAACATAGCTTTAACGTGGGCGGGGTCTGGGGCTGTTGCATCAATGGTTACTATAGTGTGGGACGGGGCAGATATCCCTTTATTTACATGAAGATAGAGCTTCAAAACGTAAATACAATAAATTAACCATCTGGCCGTATTGCTCTACATTTAAACTAACTACTATTAGAAATACCTTTCAAAAGTTTGCAATCAAAAGAATGCAATATAATACCACTGAATCAAAAACCTTTCTGGAACCATATTGATAAAATCACCACAAAAATGCCACATCCTGAGGGCCATTGTGTTGAATTGCATTATGTTGCCTCAAGTCTGTCTCCATGTGATGTACATTTGGATCAGTTGACTGAGAGAGAGTTGCTGTAATGCCTGCACACAACACAACTGGCACGCCTCCATTGCATTCCTGCTCTGGTAACAATTAGGTATGTGGAAGAGCACAAACTGTAGTGTTGAGAGCATAATGTCTGATGACTATCACACACTGTTTCTTGAGTGGAGTCACATGGCCCTCTCTTGCTCACACACACTCACACACACAGTATGAGTTGTACTTTTCACACATACCACTATAACCAAAGTCCTTTGTGCTTGACTTTCTTTGAGGGACACAACCCTATATGGTATGGGTATATGTTGTCTTAGATATTTTGTACACATACACACATTCTGTAAGATTTCTTCTCAGTCTAGACTGTTGAGGTCGTGAAAGTGGCCATTAATCTGTGCTTTTCATTAGGTTGGCTAATATTTAGGGCTACTTTAAAATTGATAAACTGATGTTGCCAACCAGTCGTTTTTCACAATGATGTCTGTTGGAGCAATACTAACTTGCTGCCATTTTAGAATCAATGTCCTACAAACCTGCAATCGCATGCACCAAGCATTAGTGCTTGTACAGTATGCTAATAAGAAGCGTGTTAATATTAGAATAATCCCAGCTAAACTGGCTTGATCCAAGATGTCTACGTATCAGTAAAAACCAATGAATTTTATAATCTGAAACATCTGCTTGGGAAGATGAGCCATAAAATCCAAACAGGGAAACAAAATGTATAGATTGTATTTGAGCCAAATGTTGTGCTTTGAGTATGCTGGGCAACATCAACATTACCCCAGTGTTGTTGTTATTAGGTTACATATATAAATACATGAAATAAACACATTTAATCAATAAGAAATACATGCGATCAGACAGTCTAATTACTAGTACACAACACAAATCTGTTAAAATGTTTATTCTGTTTTGGTCTTGTATATTTAAAGTATTTTCACATGTAAACTTAATCTCATCTCCATGTTAAAAAAAATCCTTCATATTTCATCTGAACACTTAACAGATTACCAGCCCTATGTACAAGAGAGTGCAGTCCTCTGTATGACTCTGTTTTTATCTCCCCAGTTGTATAATGCACGACCCAACACATTTTAAAAATACATACTGTAAATCAGTTCCACATTTTCATACTTGTGGAGAGACAATCAGACGATTTCTCAGTGTCTCATACATAACCATCATTAGAGTTTTTTTCTGAAATACTGTATTGTCCATCTGTGTCCTTGTAAAGGTCTGAGTGAACAACGAAAAGTGTGACCCACCCTCCTTTTAAAATATTAAAAAAAAGTATTATGGCACATTATTTCAGAGAAGATATGGCATAAAGAAAACAATTCATAATAGCAATGAGATACGCCAACATTTTGATATTGCTTAACTGTGATGCTGATATGAGAAGAGGTGGACACACAAACATGAGTGTGATGTAACATGAATGTTTAAGGGACAGTAACTGAAGGAAGACTTCAGACAGACTGAACAATTAAAGTGTCTTGTTTCATAGACAAATGTTAAATGACAAAGATAATGAGAGAAAATAGACCAAAGTGACAGATACTAGGAGGCTACAGGTTGATCTCTAGCAGTGTTTCTCAGTGTTCTGCTTAGTTTCCACCCCTTCTCAGGTGAGGTACCGTCCAGGGCTCCAGAGGCTGTCAGGGCAACAGAAGGAGTATAGTATGAAGGGCTTGGTGGACTTCATAGTTGGTGGTAGAATACACAGTCAAGTGAATATGTGGTGAGACAAACACAATAATAAAGATCCTGTGGTTTGGAGATGTGGGACGAAACAGGAAACAGCATGGTAGAGGCAATGACAACATTTGCAACAACATCAAGATAAAATTGGGCTTCTGTTCTGGCCTAGGGATAGCTACAGTGAGAGATTTGGATGTGCAGGTCAAATGGGCAGCAGTGCCGGGAGGAGAAGTTCCTGGAGCTTTGAAGACCCAAAAATTCATATTCCTCTGCGAGGTTGCAGTAGAGGGCTGAGAGCCACAGGCATCGGACCCTGCCAAAGGGAGGCGGATGGCTAATGTGAATGGATTGAGTGTTAGCAGCAGCCTGACTTGCTCTCAGCAGCCACAGTCTCCTGGTCCAGTTTGATCCGGTCTCCATTGCTCTCCTCGTATGGCAAACCTTTGTCGTTAGCCAAGATATTCTCTACCAGGAAACGTGCTGCCTCATCCACGTTGATGTTGTCCTATGAAAAGGTCAAAACAGTATGTCAGAGAGGTGATAAAGCACTGATTTCACAAACTATTGCACATTTACACCTTAGTGACAGTGCAGACACCAGTCCTTGCCCCTGCCTCTGCTTGCCCATTAATGCTTGTAGCAAGCTACATTTAATAGGAGGCATCACAGGCCTTTATAGACACTGCAGTGTTTATTTTCAGAATTGCGCTAAACTCCTTTATATGAACCAGCCTGTTAAAGAAAGACAGAGACGGTTGCCAGAGAGTCAAGCTGAGGCCAGAAGAGACAAGGTAAAGAAAAAAAAACAAACAAACAAACAAACAAAAAAAAGCCATTTGCTTATGTCCTTCACACTGTGGTCAAAAGCTGTCATCCTGTGGGCTGAAGAAGAAATGAGTATGAATGGCCTTTCTAGAGATGTTTACAAAAGAGGCCTGGGCAAGGCAAACAGAGAGTAAGTGTATATTTAAAAAAAAAAAAAAAAAAGGAAAAAAGGAACAAAAAACAAACAAACTATATATATCACATTCACACCTGGAAGCGGCACAGTACAACCACAGTCTGACCTGATGGCCACTGGGCACTGAGGGGTTAAGAACTTTGCTGAAGGGAACCACACTGGTGTTCATGAGGGAGGGGCAAGCTCTGCTTTTTCACTTTTCCCACCCAGATTTAACCCTGCCGGTCCGGGGACTGAACCGGCAACCTTCCAGTCACACGCTCTCTCCTCTAATCTTAAAGCCACCGCTGAAAAAAAAAAAAAAAAAGTTTCTTGATGAACTGGTGTGACATGGGAATACAACCCCATGATTATGAGTAGCCTACCATCTACCGCTCACCCTGCATGACTTTGAAAAACATTGATTGTGTGCACCAATCAGAACCAGACTACCCTCTTAATTAAAGGGACTAAGTTGTTGACTACATGGTAACAAAGGCTGATTAAGACCAGAAAAAAAAAAAACAACCCCTCAATGTTTGACTGAGTGACGTGCCTCAGCGATGAAAACAATGCAACCTCATCATGATTGTGTAGTCTTTACATGTTTGACTGATGTTTTGTCAAACGGAAAGAAAGGCTGCTTCTCCTTGACAGAATTCCAAACACAGGTTGTTGTGGGTTGAATTTAACACCAGTGTGACAGGGCACACAAAACAACCACAACACTTCATCCCACTCCCTGAAAGGAAACGGCCAGAAAGGCTTTGCACACATCACACACACACACACACTTTCACATGACAGCACGTGACACGGCTGCAGGGCCTGAGGTTATTGGAATGAGTTAATAAAGCTAACTCAAGCTTGTTCTCATCAAAGCATTCTTCTATACTATATAAGGTGGTTATGGTTTAAGATGTAGAAGCGTGTGTCCTAGAAGGACAAAGAGGCTGAGTTCGAAAAAAAAGACTGTGATGGGAAAAGGAGGTGAGGAAGACACAGGAGGGGGGACCTCTCTGGAGTCTCATAGTTAGAAAGAACAAATGAATTTGTCTTGCTGAGCTTCCAACGCGCATCAGGAACAACTGCAATTTCCAAGGGAAGTGATTTATTAATGAGAATGGGCTGGCACATGCAGCCTTTTGTTTGTCAAACTGGTGCCCTCCCACACTTACCTGCTGAGGAATATGATAGCATAGAGAGTTTGTGAGAGATTTACAACACAGACTAACAACTGTAGAGAGTAAGTGGATACATTTATATCTCGGAACTGAACCTTTGTAGAAGTGAGTGGCAGCCAAAATGGTCTCACTTCATCAAATTCTCCCCACAAAAACAGAACTTCAGTAGCGCAGTGCAAACACACAGACACCGTAACACCAAACTTGTGACACCATGACCCAAGTTGAGGAGAAACACTACAGAACATTATCTTTCAGGGCCTCACCCCTCTGACCCCTCACAGCTCCAGGCTGCAACATCAATCAACGTCACGCGATACTATATCACACTGGCTGCCCTACAGATCTTTTCACTGGGTGGGATGATATGGATGGATGTCTGTGGATGTAGTCGCACAGACGGCACGATTAAAAAAACAATATACTATTATATGACTATCTACAAACTGCCATTCTTAACACTGAATTTTGGATTAAAATTGCTAATGTGAACAGCTGCTGAATGAGTGCCTGCGTGTTTAACATACTCTACATGTGACCATTTCACAATCACCACAGGGTGATTACACCATTCAGAAAGAGCTGTGGCTTCTCCACACGATAACTTTCGAAGACTTCCTGTTCTCATACTTTCTGCATGAGAAGCAAAGAAGTTCAGTAACTTCGGTAAAATGGCAAAATACCCTCACTGTAAAAGTCCAGTGGCTCCTTTTATTTTTACTCCGCTATGTGTACTTCAAAGTCCTTATCGCATCCGATTTACCACAAACACAAGTGTGGACATGTGGAAAATAAGATTTGAACCCATAACTAGTCATGTTTGAACCATGACCCAAGAAGCTTTAAAAGAAATATCTATCTCCCATGATGCAAGATATTTCAGCCAGCATTAATATGGCTAACTTTGGTAATTTCATGCTGCTGAACCCTGGTTTAAACTGTGGAATAACCAGAAATAAAACATAAAGAGGCATCTGAGGGAGGAAAGAAGCCTGTTAAACAGATATTGAGAGGAATGTATGTAAAATCACATGGTTCTGTTTCATGTGCATGAGCTACTTATAGCTTCTCTGTCTCTCACCTTAGCTGAGGTTTCAAACCAGCCCAGAAAGCCGGTCTCTTTGCAGAAATTGTCCATTAGGGCTGTGTTGTTGGAGCTCTCTTTCTTCTGGTCACATTTATTGGCGAGCAGCACTGAGGGGATGGGGTTGCCATTAGCCAGCTTCACCTTGCTGTCCAAGTCATGCTTCCACTTAGATACAGCTTCAAATGTGGAGCCCCTTGTCACGTCGAACACCACGAACGCCCCCACGGCCTCTTTGTAGTACACCCGCGTCATGTTCCCAAATCGCTCTTGACCTGGGGGATGGGAAGAGACTTCAGTGGAATATTTGCATTTTTACAAAGCACTTGACAGCTAGATGAGTAACAGGGCTTTGGGTTTGTGAATGATTAAGAAAATGTGGATTGTTGAATCCATCAAAGCGGATTATGATTTATCATCTGAACCAAAACACCAAAACAGCCTCTTAAAGACGGAAACCAAATACCTAGCCCTGAGCCTGGTTGCAGTAAGTGGTGAGACATTCAGTATTTCAATTTCATTTCCTCGCCTATATGTGTCCAAAAAATGATCAGGATAAAGATGGTTCCTATTCGACCTACTTTCCCCAATTTGCCATGGGCCTAATCCGCACAGAGAATGGCAGAAGTAATCTGCCATAATAATAAGCCCATTCTCTGTAGTCATTCTCTGAGAAAATCTGAGATGATATTTCACAAAGGCAAAGCAAGGGGAATTACCAAGGGGATATGGGGTGTCACTATCAATCTGAGAAGGCCGTTTCTTAAACACAACTGGACCACTTTTAGGGTTTGTTTCATACTTCTCTAAAAATCTACTGATTACAGTCACATCACATCATATTAGCTCATCAAAGGGTATTCAGCTAGTAAAGAGAATCCCGTTCACATGCCTCTGCAAAACAATGATGCATTGGGTCAACTGCAGTGTTCATTCTGAAACTGTTTGTTGTATTTTTGTATTTGAAGTACATTTCAGCTTTAAAGATGCCAACACATGGATGAAAATGACTCCAAGTGGGGCAAAGGTTTGATAACTATAGTCATAACTAATTCAGATTCCCATGGAAATTTTCATACTTTAATTATCACATTTAAAATCAAAGAGGAAATGGACTCTTGAGGTGAGATAATAATTCCAGGAACAGCACTCTAACATGCCTTTAAGTCTGTCCACGTCACTTCACTTCAACTGTGCACTGAGGTGTATAGACCGGTTCCTCAGCAGGGGGAAGTGAATCTATGTTCGACTGGCGTTAAGTTACCTCTGGTTGGCGTCACACTCTCAAGCATACCTAAGTGATCAAAAAAGTCCTTTCTGCCTCAGATCACTTTACTGACCTATCAAGATCTTATGGAGAAGCATGGAGTTGGCGCTTCCTCATTTCATTTTCCCATCCATAAATCTCCCCTCCCTTTTGTGCAGCTCTAGCAACAGGGACTGGTAGAGCTTCCAACTTCCATCACTTGCATATGAGGAAAAACATATCCTAGATTTAAAAGGATAAGGCTGGTAAGATTCTATATTTTCTTATTGTCATAAAAATACCATAAACTAACACTGTCTTAGTTTGTCTCTCAACACCTTTCAACCTCCCCAGGCTGTAGGTTGCTCTCAGCTCAAGCCCTTTCAGTGTTAATGAAGACCTAAATCTTTAAAGACACATCATGAATGTACAGTATACTTTCAGTTTTAAAGAAGGATGAACAAGTTCAAGTCACCAGAGCACTGTAGTTTTCAGCAAACATTACTCAAACTGTGTTTTTTTTTGGTGACTATTTTTGGCTGCATGTTCAGTGTAATGAAGGAAAAATGTCATACTGATGTGTTTTTAATAGTTTTGGGACAACAGTGGAGGTTTTTGGCACAGATGAATAAGCTATATCAAGCTTTTTTTTTTTTTTTTTTTTTTTTTAAAAAAAAGGAATTTATCTGAAATAAGAAGAAAATAAAGATATAATCAAATTGAAAAGCCTTTAACAACCACAGAGGTACACAGATTAGCTGCTTACCTCAAAATTCAACCAGAAGAGGTTAGATGGTTACTAAAAAATGGTACCCTGTGATTGGTCTGTTATCTGGGTGCCTAGACAGTTAGGTGTGTTAACACTGCCTGAAGCTAGAGGAACTGAGAACAAGCATGAACAGGCCAGAGCTGTGATGATAATCTGTGACTCAGACGTTCTTGGTTGCAAATGTAAAATGAGAGTATTTTCAGACAAAAACAGACAGGTGTGGAGATTGCTCAACAGAAATAATAATTTTCATTGCCTGCAGAATAGTTCAAATGACATACACTGTGTGTATCAGACAGTTCTGACGGAAAACCACAAAAAGCCGTTTTAGATTAAAAGTTAGATAGAGGATTAGGATTTGGTTTTTATTTTTTTTTATTTTTAGTTTCTCTGTCTCACACACACACACACACACACACACACACACACACACACACACACACACTTCGATAATATTATTCCTGTTTTTGTTCTGCTTTTTTATGCAAACATCAGTTTTACTGTACTCACCATCCTAAACATGAGCTAAATATGGTTGAAGGTTCATTAAACTACAGAGGTGTGCTCATGTGAGTTTGGTAAAGAAACTTTTCAAGAATATTTCAAACTATAGTTTTGTGATGCAAAAGATTTGTGACTTGGATTCACAGTAGTTGTTGTCTGAACTGGAGACACCAGATTACGATCCTGTGGTCTGATTATTGCTGGCAAGGCTACCACTTCTTTACTTTGGATCACAGATTGTGTCTTTAAACCTGCTCATTCAATTTATTTTTAGTTTCAGTCTCTGCAATTATACATCAGGCTTCCAATGACTTGATGTAGCTTTTGAAGGATTTGGCACATATTTTTGCTACACTGCTCCAATTTAAGAAAGCCTACAGGGCAAGTGTAATTGTACTATGTATTACACAGTTAACACCTTCCACTAGAGCCGACTTACAAAATACCAAACGAACCAAGAAAAGGTTTGAGGAACTGTGAGCACCGCTTCACGCAGTACACTTTCGCTTTTCTGTAGGTACTTACCCAACCACGTAAGGAACTGGAGTGGTGTGGCGCAGTGCGGATGTGAGCAAGAGAGTGAATACACTATGGGGCCCACAGGCCTGACGGTAATTGCTCATAATTGAGAGTCTAATTTTAGCTGATATAACCCCAGGTGAATTCACCAGAGACACGACACAGTGGGATAAAGAGCCGATAGACTGAAATAAGTCTTTCATTTCCAGTCCTTGTGGTGCTCATACATCCAGTGGAGTGGAGGCAGAGGCCGAATATAGAAAGAAATAACTGGCTTAATGATTTTCAAAACACTTTTCTTCCTTTTATTCTATGCAAGGTCTGACTGAGCCCAGCATAACCATTAGCAGAGCAGAGTGACTGAACAATACTGACCACAGAGGCCTTGAATATTTCCAGAAATAAGGCACAGGAGAATAGAGGCAGATATTTCACAATAAAGCTGATGATGCTAAATGAAAGAAGCTTCATCTTGTAATCAGTGAACAGAAATCATATTTTTTGCCTGCTCATCTTAGATCAGGAACTAGTTCACATAAAGTGCACGAGTGCAAAGCCGCGCTGTGTCACCAACTTGCTGAAAGAGCATGTCTGTGTGTGCTTTATGAAGTCATCATGATTCTTTAATCCATGTCTTCTGACGATTGTTTTGAATTCACATACAAGTTAATTACTGCTGAGAATAAGCATAATAATTTCTTTACTCTATAAGAACTGAGTTCCATAAGTGCTGAAGAGGCCATGACAACAAGTCATTGTCTACATTCAGCATTTCATGTGATTTTCTGACACGTCCAGTCCTTATTGCTGGGTCGATATGTGAGCAGAGCCAGTCTGGGAGGGTGTTAACCTCACTCCTCCTGGGAGAGAGCTGGCTGGATGGGAAAGACTCGTATCGAGTGTTTATATCAATCTATATCACCGAAGTGATTACAGTAGCACACTTGCACGTGCACTCACACATACACACCTGAGGGAGTAATGAGTTTTTTGGGATATTGATAAGGTGCTGAGGTTCCACACAGCAGTCACTAACATTAAATGACAGCAAATCCAATGATCCCTGACCTTTCAAGTGTCATAAGTACTGCTAATCATTCTGCTGCCTTTACTGAACCCACACCTGCTTCAGAAAAACAACAGACAGAGCACAGCCTGCACTACTTGTGATCTGATGATTAGTTTGTTAAATCAAAGCAACTTACAATTATTTTCATTATAGATGAATCTGCAAACACATTTTCTTAATTAATTGATTTGTTTTGTGTATCAAATGTCAGAAAATAGTGAACAATCACAAATTCCCAGAGTTTAAGGTAACATTCTTGTTTTGTCCAACCAATAGGTATGAAATTTACAGTGATGTAAAAGCAAATCTTTACATTTTAATTGGCAACTTGCTAGAAAAACAATTAATTTTCAGTTGATCAATGGATTGTTTCCCAGCTCACCTCATGTAGTGTTTATGGTAGATAAACGTGAGCGTTTCATGAAGCAGCTTATTTTTCTTCATGGGTTTTTTCGTTGTTTAGATTCATACTGTTGCAACTGGATGAGCACAAATAACTGGGTGTAAAATAAATGACTTTCTGTCGGTGTGTCCAGCCATCTAGCTAAAGGTTTGACCGACATGTCAGTTCTATCAATATTGCAATTCCTACTGCTCACAGACAGGGGTCAATAAAATTGATATCAAATAAAATACAATACAATGAAATTGTAAATATCAAATTAATGGTATCAATGGTGTATTTTGTTTCTTGTTCTATGACTCTGATGATGCAAGAAATACATTTCTCTCTAAGTAAAGGACAAATAAAATTGTACTAAAAGCCTTAATGAGTGTCATACGCTGCTAACCCAATCAGCATAAAACACAGGAATGGAATGAGCAGTATGAACAATGGAGTATTTAAGCAGTGAATGCCACAGAGGAGCATGAGACTGCAGGAGAGAACAAAGACGTGCGCTGCTGCTTCAAACGCTCAACATGAGGCAACTGCCTTCAAACTAAAGAGAAGTACGTCAGAATCTGTCTGTAAAAGAGAGACAGTGAACTATTGTGGAATTCCAACGGCTTCAAACAAGGACATTTCAGTTCAGTCTACCACACTGATGAATAATGGTGCGTGACCTCAAGTACAGTTAGGCACTCTGGTTATGAACATGTGAAACCTTCATTTACAGAACCAGTACATGAAAAAGAAAGGGTTTAGTTACAGCCACTGTATCATCTC